CTCCAGTGCAGAGGTTACAGGAGAAATCTCAGATCTGAGCAGTTACAAGGAAGTGCATGTGTTCGTTATTCCAGAGGGGGTTGGGCATTTTAAATCAACTTTATTGAAATTTTCATTAATGTTTTACTGGGGGATATACTTGGGGAACAAAAAAAATAAGACACAGGATTTGTGGTATTCCATATTCCTTCACTGCATTTACACACCCTCATTTTAAGACACTGCCATGGAATAATCTCACTGAAGGATCATATTGGTGCCACAGTATTAATACACAACCCGCTCCACAGCCTAGACATTCTCTGTCAGACAGCTGACACTAAGATGTGCTATGGTTTCCCACTGTTACTACCATCAGTTCAGCTGCTACTGGTTTTACTGCTTGTGTACACACATTTCCATACTGCTATAACTATTTTGGTTTAGTAACCAATATTGTTAAAGTAGTACAAAAACTGTGTAGACCAGACTTTACTAATAGTAAGAACATTATTTTAGACTAGAGTAGACAAAGCTCCAGGAAGCCACAGGGATTAAGTATACTGTTCTCTAATCCTACTCAGTGCAGGTCTACGTCCCACAGTGCTGAAAGTAACAGTGCTCTGTTTACAATAGTGCTCTCACCTGTACAGTCATTGGTGGATTTTCACTAGTGGTAGCAGTAGTGGGAAATTTTAGAAAAGAAACTTCCTAATGCCATCAAGGCCTCAAAGCTTTTTAAGACCATAGGAAAGAACCCTGCCTGGAGCATGAAGCTGATTAGAGAGGCATTGAGATCTCATCAGTAACAAAAGGACGTCAGCAACAAGACCCCTCCATCAGAGTTGAAAATAATTTAGCCAGTAGTGTGGATGGGACAAAGACACTTTCAGCACTGTTGCAGAAGGCATTAGAGACTTGCAGTGCAAAGAGATCCTTTGTTGGCAACTCTTGTCTTTACTTGAAAATAAACTCATTGACATAACATCCCCAGTGGTAAAACAGGGGCAAGAAAGAAACTGACTGGGTGTCAATTTCACTCTGACAACTTGATGATGAAGTTGGAGAGGTCAAAAATCTTATACAGAGAGAGGAATAGAAAGAAACAAGCCAAAAATAAGCACAGAAAAGGAGACACTAAAATACAGAAGATAAGTGTTTCATTTTACAATGAGTCTATACCTGAGTTTCTGTATGACACAGTAAAAATAACTTGATTTCATTAAGATACATAAGAAGTGTTCATTCCACTATTACCTTCCCTGTACCCTATCCCTTCCCTCATTTGCTCTATCCAACTGTTGACTTTTCAGAAGCTAAAACTTAATTCTTTGAGGCAAGAACCCTCATTCATTATGTGCGCTAAAAAAACACTTAGCACAATAGGGTTCAGATAGATGATTAGGGCTTCTAGATGGTATCAGAATACAAATAAATAATAAAATAATGGGTCCAAAATAGTGAATTGGGCTGGTACCTAAATGAAACTTAATCCAATTTGAAAATCCATCCAATTTGAAAGTGTGTGAGGATAATTCTCTACTTTTCCTATTGATATAAATGGAGTTAAACATATACATACATACACAACCTTGTATTCTGGAGAGTCTCCAACCAACCCTTTGATTCAACACCATGAATACTGGGGAGGGAAATTTGTCATTTGCAGTTTTCAAGCGGCAGGCACAAATTACCAATCATGAGGTTTTCTCTGCTCATGCTCAGAAACTGGGAGGAAACAGAACCATTCATTTGCTGTAGAGTTCTCAAAGCCTCCTGCCCATTTTCAACTTACCAGTTACATATTAAAGAGAGTGACCTCAAATTTTGAGCCTGTATCACCATGTTTCATCAGCTCCAAGGAAATGTTGGTGTATACTTGGCTCTTACCTTATCCTTTTCATGAGGAAGGAGCGACACTGGAGGCAGACAGGAAAGAGACTCACAACTCTCTTTCCCATCAGCATTGATGGCTGCTTTAGTGTTGAGTTGGTACAAAGGTCCATCTTTAAGGAGTCTGCCGTGGCCAACAGCACGCTTGACAGCCAGTCGCAATTGCTGGTGAAAAATGGAAGTGCCACTACCTCCAAACAATGTAGACACATCCTTCTGACCTTTCAAAAAGCGTTCAATATTCTTCAAGGATGAACCACTGGACTCTGCCAAGCCCTCAATTGCCCGTTTGATCAGTTTATTCCAGTCCACGTTTGGTTTACCATCCAACTTTCCATGGTTTCGAGGTTTAGGAAGTGCTATTCTCCCAGGATTATCAGGATCCTTGTAGGAATTGAGACCTTTGTTGGAGACTTTTAATATAGTTCCATCTTTAACACTCAATTCTAGTTGTTCCAGAACAGTTTTACGGTCCAAACCATGGGACGAAGACACTGCATTGCATATCCTCTCCTCTGAAGGGCGCTGTTTTTGCTTCTTCACCTTTTTGATCGCCTCCAAAATCCACTCCGTATACAGCGGGTTAGCGAGTTTTACCATGGTGAAGAATTCTGTATATCCATAGAGTCGTTATCCTTTATCCCGATGCTGAATAAGTTTCACACCGTGGGAAAACAGATTTTTGGAGGATGGGAACCAGTTAACCATAGCATACACGTTTTTGGAGCTGAATTACTCTGTTTCTCAAACATTAATATTTTTAAACTGAAAGTAGAAAAATGATATATTCTGTTAGGAATTTCTTCATGCTTTCAATAAATCCATCAACAGCTCCAGAGCAAGGTTTTCACGAAGTTGTAAAGAACTCAGCACTTCTCACCTCAGCTTTGGATTTCCAATCTCACATCAGCAAAACTGGAACATTAAATCTGAAAGAAAATGAGAAAATAGTCACGCCCACAAAGAAAGTCACAAGTGTCCCATTCCAGTTTGTATATTCACAAATATACAAGAATATTGTAAGTTCTTCTAATCTATCACTGAAGTTTTGAAGCACATTTTATAACACTACTGAAGTAACATTTAGGCTATGTCTTCACTTAAAAACAAAGTTTGGATTTTACATTGAGACAGCTAACAATGTAAAATCCTACTGGAGATAAAGCACTGTAGTTTCTGCCTGGATGTAGCTAGTCAACATAACTCCCAGGTGGGAGACATAGGGTTGACCTCAGTTAGCTACATCAAGGTAAAAACTACCTGGTGCCTTACCTCCATTACAATTTTATATCATGACAGCTATCCTGATGCAATAAACGCACCTAATTTTGCAGTGAAGACATAGCCTTAACCTGAGACTTCAATACAAAGTAACTAAAGGATTCTGACTGCCACAGGCAGATGGTACTTTTTGCCTCTTGCATTGACATTCAAGGAGTTGTGAACAGTTTATTGCAAACATCACCATTTTTATAGGTGAGATTTTATAAGTTCCAAGTTAGTCAACATATTACCTCTAGCTCTTCCTTCCCGTACCCTGCTTTCTAGTAACTGTTAGAGAATCTGTCAGTAACAAAGGATTTTAAAACACCAAAATTAGATCATCTACACTGTCCCCCACATACAGGTTTAAGTTTAATAATTAGGTAGAAGTTTAGAACCTCTGCCTAAAACAAAATCTACACAGAAGGAAAATAGTATTTAAATAAGGGTTGTATTACCACTATAACAGACATAAGGGTAGGTATGACCACACATACACCTGTCTGCACTTTTCTGTTTAAACTGTACCTGGCAGGGGATGCCCCGAGCCACCCCATACATGGACCCCAGGGAAGGGGACCCTGCGATCTGCCATCAGGACATTTCACTGTCCTTGAACACTCTTAATAGCGAGGCCAGGCTGAGGCTGGTGTCACACAGGGGTGATGGCCCCAGTGCCAGAGGTCACTCACTCATTCTCCAGCTGCATCACAAGTACCCCTGCACCTGTCACAGCCGCTCCCCACCCGTGCTATGGGGTGGGCCACAGTACAGAAGTGCCCACGGGATGGCGCCCCCGGCCGGACACCCCGGACTCTGTTCCCGGGGAATCAGGGCACCGACCCCAGCGGCAGACGGCACCCCGGGGGCACGGCGCTGCCCTCCCCCTAGTAATGGGCAGTCCAGCCCGGACCAGTGTTCCCGCATCGCCGGGCCCGCCGGAGCCGCGCCACCAGGAGCCGCAGTCGGAGGCCGACTCAGCCCAAGCGCCGCGGCCCGCGCCGCCGGCCTCATCCGCGGCCTCCCGTGGGCGCCGCCTGCTCGGCTGCTGGGCTGGAGCGCGCTGCGGGGGAGCGCGGCGGCCGGGCCCGGGCTTGGCGCAGAGCGGCGGCGGGGCCGGAACAGGCCGCGGGGCCTGGAGCACCCAGCGGGCCTCCCGCTCCCTCGGGCGGCAGGGCCCGGCCAGCCGCCGGCCCCCGGCCCCCGCGGCGCCGGGCACCCGAGCCAAGAGCGGCCGAGACGACGCCACTTACCGGGGCCTGCGAGAGACGCAAACCGCGAGCCGGAGGCCGGACGGCGGCGAAGCCCCAAACTGACACGGCGGCCATCTTGGGTCCGGAGCGCTGCGGCGGGGGGGAGGGGGCGATGGAGGGGAATCGCCTGCGGCGGGAGGGGGATTCGCCGAGAGAATAGCCTGGCTGCGCGGGGTCGGGGAGCCGCCGGGGTGCCGGGCCGAGAGCAGCGCGCCTGAGGGGAGCGAGCGGGCCAGCCGGAGGAGGGAAGGAGCTGGGGGAGGGGTTGTGAGGGGCTGGGGAGTGGTCTGGGGGGAAGAGGGGTTTGGGGAGAAGGGTCTAGGGGAGGGTAGAGGGGGATGGGGAGGGGCGGGGGGTTTGGAGGGAGGAGGGGGTCTGTGGGGGATGGGGGGGTGGGGAGGGGGGTTTATTTATGGGGGAATGGAGGGGGTTGGGGAGAGGGCTGTGGGAGGGATGGAAAGGCTTGGGTGGTGGTTGGGGGGATGGAAGAGTTTGGGGAGAGGATGAACAAGCAGGAGGAGTGATAGGGGTGGATGGGGTTTGAGGAAGGGTTGACAGGAATGGGGCAGGGGATAGATAACTGGAGGGAGGGATGGGGGGTTAGAGGGAGAGGGGATAAGGAATCCTGTGTGATCAGATAATTAGCGGGACTGGAGGACCCCCGCAGTGATCTAGGCCCAGTACTAGACAGGGATGGTAAAATGGACAAGTGTTCAATAAATATTTCTGTCCTGTATTTGTAAAGAGTTGGCATGGCATATCCATATCTTACAATATTAAAGAAATACGTTCTATTTCAACAGTAACTGTGGAGGATGCCAAACAGCATCCGCTAAACTTGGAGCTCGTCTACACTTGAAATGGTACAGCGGCACAGCCGCAGTGCTTCAGTGTAGACACTCACTTCTGCAACAGGAGAGGTTCTCCTGTCACTATAGTTAATCCACTTCCCCCAGGAGATGGTAGCCAGATCGGCAGAAGAATCTTTCAATTGATTTAGTGCTGGTCTACTCCAGGGGTTAGGTCCGCTTAACTACATCACTCAGGGGTGTGGATTTTTCACACCCCTGAGCGACGTAGCTGGGTTGACTTAACTTTGTATATACCTGACCTTATACTTTTTAAATATGTAGGAGTGGGGCCATGTTTACACTACAAACTTACACAAGTGATGTTGGCATAAAGCTGTCACAGTTAGTATGGCACTTGTATTCATGCATACTTGGCTTCTTGTGTCAGCGCTGTGCATATTCACCAGGAGTGCTTGTGTCAATGCACAGTGCAGTGCTCCATGGGTCGGTATCCCAGTGCGCAACCTGACACCATCCAGCACACTGTCTTTTGGAAAGTTTTGGCAATACATTGTGGGGCAGAAAGGAGTTGTTCAGGGGTGACTGGTAGCAAGGGGTTAACCTCCCGCCATGCAACTGTCTCCGTCTCATAATGTCACTTATATCCCATACTTTTCAGACCTTTTTTAAAAATCCCACAAAGCCACACAGCCTTTCTCGCTGTCAGCCATCTCTGACGGACTCTCCACTATTGTCATAAGCATTACAAGGACAGGACATGCATTCCTCCAGTATTTGTAGAGCTGCAAGAAGAACTGAATGAGCAGGTAACATGGTGAGTTATTGGAGGACAAGCTGCTGCGGGACATAGAAAGAAACAATTCAAGGTTGTTGATGGCATTCACAGAGCAGCTGCTGCTACTGGAGCACTGCACCTGCATGGGATTGTATTGTAATACAGGTTTGGGATGAGGAGCATTGGCTGTAGAACTTTCAAATGCACAAGGTCCCATTTCTGGATGTGAGTGCCGAGCTCGCCCCAGGACTCCAGTGCCGGGACACTAAAATGAGAGTTGCACTGGCAGTAGAGAAGCTAGTGGCAATTGCACTGTGGAAACTCGCAGAGCTGGATTGCTACCAGTCATTGGGAAATCATTTTGGAGATGGAAAATCCACTGTGGGGTCTGTTGTCATGCAAGTGTGCAGGGCCATTAATCATCTCCTGCTATGTAGGACTGTGACTCTCGGCAATGTGCAGGACGTAGTGGATGGATTTTCAGCAGTGAGGTTCCCAAACTGCGGTGGAGCAATAGACAGCACACACATCCCTATTTTGGTACCAGACCACCTTGCCACAGAGTATATCAACAGAAAGGGCTACTTATTTATGGTTATGCAAGCATTGGTGGATCGCTGGGGTTGCTTCACTGACGTCAATTTTAGCCGGTCAGGGAAGGTCCATGATGCTCATATCTTTAAGAACACAGGACTGTTCAGAAAGCTACAAACAGAGACTTTCTTGCTCAAATGGCAAATTAACTACGGTGATGTTGAATTGCCAATAGTGATCCTGGAGGACCCAGCCTACCCCTTGCCCCCAGCTCATGAAGCTGTAGACCAACCACCTTGATAGCGCCAAGGAAAGAGTCGACCACCAGCTCAGGAGGTGCAGAATGACAGTTGAATGTGCTTTTGGTAAATTGAAGGTACACTGACGTTGTTTACTCACAAAAATGGATCTCGATGAAAAACAAATCCCAATGGTTCTTCCTTCCTGCTGTGTCCTGCACATTTGTGAAGCAAAGGGGGAAAAGTTGCCACCAGGATGGATGGTTGAGGTGGAGCAGCTGTCTGCTGAGTTTGAACAGCCAGACACAAGGGCTATTAGAAAAGTTCAATGCAGATCTATACGGTTCAGGGAGGCTTTGAAAGAGCTCTTTAATGGTAAGCCACAGTAATGCATTTTGTTGTACTGTGCTCTACCTGGCCCTTCTCTTTTGGGGCGTGTTAGGAATTATGTGGTGTACATTTATGAATATAATGCTGTTAATTCACCTATGAATTTTTTTATGCTTGCTGTACATTTAGGATTTTTACACCGTTACTGGTCATATGAGTTATGTCATACCTGTACAGTAACAAGTGGGTGCTTTCAGAACTGCTAGGCATTCCGCAGCTTATGCTGTGAACTAATAAAGATTAATTTCCAAATAATAGAATTTTATTCAGTAACAAAACCAGTGCAAAGAAAAGTTTGTGCAGTTTAAAAACAAATACATTAAAAACTTAATACATTAATGGAACGGACCTTAACAAAGGGAAAAAATATTCATGCCATTTTACCTATACATATAGCAACCATCGCTTTCACAGGTCAGTGCCTGTGAAGCTGTGATTGTCCTTAATGTCCATGGTGTGGAATGGTAGGGGTAGATATGTGGCCCCTGATATCAGGTGGAATGTTGAGGGCGCTTTAGGGAGATGCTGTAATAAGTTCTCCATGGACTGCTATAGGAGGTGAACCTATGATTGTTGAACCTGTAGGTCCACAAGAGTCTGCAGCATCTGTGTTTGCTGCCGGAGAAGCTCCATTACATCCTGGTGCATCTCCCTCTCCTTTTACTGCTGAAATTCCTGGTCCTTTCTCTTGTCTGCTCTTTCCTTCTCCAGATTGTTTGCAGTGTTCACCCTCCAGGCCCTGTGCTCACAGTCTGATTCAGCACGGGCTTGCAGGATTGCACTGAACATGTCATCCCAAATTCTTATTTTTTCTCCTTATCTGACTCCCCTTCTCACAGGTGTGGAAGGGGAACCCCTTAAGGCCGCAACAGCAGCAGCTACAGATAAAACATACAGAGGTACCATTGTCAATATAGTCACAACAGAAAGTAAAAGTTAAGATTCAGAGCTCCCTTCCCTTGCTCCTCTAAAGATTTAAACAAGACATGCTTATTGACACTTCTGCTTCAGAATGCTTGTGCACGTCCCCACTCACAGCACCAGTCGTGGTGAGTATAGCTTACCAGGAGTAAGGGAAATGAGGAGGGAATTGTTTAGTTGCATGCTACTATGAGTACTAAGCAGTGGCACTGAATACTGGCACCATTTTCCACAGGCAGAGTTAATGTTAGCTGATAACTCACTCCTGAGTGTAACAAAGGCATAGAGAACACAGCTGCTGCTGGTATCCCGAAGCTGCCTGGGCCTGTATGCTGCTAGCCTGTATACTACAATGGTGCCTGCCAAAGTTGCAGCTAACTAACATGGGAAAGTGTCCTTCCCTTGAGGAAGAAGTAATGCTGCCATCCCTAGAAACCTTCAGGAGAGGATTGCAGAGTACCTCTATGAACATTTCATCAAAATCTCTCAGAAGGATTCAAGGGACCACCCCCATGTACACAGGTGAGAGGGGGCCATGCAGAGCAGTTTGTTTGAATGATATATGTATGTAGCAGAATGTACAGATAATGCTACATCTCTTTGTTGTACCACTACCTCTTCTAGCACAAGTAAATTAATGAAAAGTTGATAGGTGTGTCCTGTTTTGGGCAGGGCAGCGGGCATCAAAGTCAGCGGAAGGCTCAGCCTACCCAAACTGCCTGCGTGGCCCCACCCACACTCCACCCCCAGGCTTCCTCCAGCTTCCCACTGCACTCTGCTGCGGCTCTTCCTTTCCCTGTGGCTCAGGCCCTGGGCCAGTGGCACCAGAACCAGGGGGTCATAGCCCTCCTACTTTTTGAAAATGGATGGGCCTGGCCCTACCACTTTTCGCCAAGGCTGACCCCGCCCCTCTCTCCTCTTCTTCCTCTTGAGGCCTCACCCCATGGTCAGGCCAGTGTGGAGCCTGGCCGGGGAGCCCCGGCAGCTGTGGGGAGCCACCGTGGACCCTCCACCTGCTCAGGGTGTGGGGAGCTGAGAGCAGTCCGCAGCCCACATCCCCACTCTCCAGCCACCCAGGGCAGGAGGAGGGTCCACGACTCCATGCTGGCTCCCCACATCTGCCCACGCGGCTCTCCCTGACCTGGCTCCGGCCAGGGGGGAGGGCCTCGGAGCTACAGCCTGGCCTTGGTAAGAGTTGCGTGGGCAGCTGTGAGGAGCCACGGAGTAGCGGACCCTCCACCTTCCCCAGGCGGGCAGGGAATCCGGGGGGCAGGGACACAGGCCAGGGGCTGCTTGGGCCCCTCACACTGCGGGCAGGTAGAGAGTCCGCCACAGCTCCCCAAACCTTGCAGCGTGGCTCTTATCATGGCCGGGCTGCGGCTCCAAGGCCCCCCACTCCGGCTGGAGCTCTGGGGAGAGCTGCGTGGGCAGTGGTGGGAAGCCTGGGTCCTTCCACCTGCCCTGGGCGGGGGGCCTGGGATACGGGCAGGGAGCTGCCTTCGCCTCCACTTTGGGTAGGGGCTCCCAGCTCCCCCCAGTTTTGGGAGGGCTCCAGTGCCCTTGCTACCTCTGAGGCTAGTGGGGGCTGGCCTGCAGCCAGGTACTGCGGGTGGCTGGAAATGCTGCTCATGCTGCCTGCCCTGTGCTGTCCGGTCCCCTCACACTCTGGGGCGGGAAAGCCGCGTTGCCTGCCCACTTGGGGCTGGGGGTGACCTTATGGGCTCTGGTGGGGTAAGGGGCTTGGGGGGGGGGGGGCAGGGCCCGGGGAGAGGGAGGCGGGCTGCCGGGGGCTAGCTTTCCCAAGCCCACGGTTCACCCACCACCCATGTTTTGGGGTGCCATCAATACATCATTGTAATGGGAAATACAAATACACATTACTTAAGATTTCTTACGCTGCATTGGGCTCACCCATGCTTTATTGTTGGGACTGATTGGACTGCGGTGGAGTCTCAGATAGGTCCTGGCTCACAACATAACTGAGCCTCTCCAGTCACATGTTTTCCTCTTCCTCCTCTTCTCTATCTCCTTCTTGTCCTCGCTGTTCACACCAATGGCCTGTGACTCGGCTTCTTGGAGGTATCCACGGTGGTGTGCAGTGTAGTGGTGGGATCTCCACCCAGTTTGGCATGTAAAAATGGTAGGTCTGTGGCTTGGTATCGGATTGACTGTTGGCCTCCTTGGCCCTTGTGCTTTGCCTGCCACAGTTCCTTCACTTTCACGTGGCACTGCTGCTGGTCCCTATTATACCCTTTCTTCTGCAACCTCTGTCCCTTCTGTGCAGGCTGCTTGTATGATGTCCACGCTTCTGTAGCTGGTCCATAGCTGTGCTTGCACAGCCTCTTGTCCCCTCAGGCCCAGGAGATCCAATATCTTTTGTGTACGCTAAGCCAGAGCATTTCTAGAGTGTGTATCTGGCCTGGTCAGCTTGGCGGTTGCACATAACGCTGGAGAGCTGCTAGATGTGCTCACCAAGCTGGACAATCATGAAAAGGCATTTCAAAAATTTGCAGGGCTTTAAAGTGAGGGAGGCCTCCTGGTCTCTCACACCGAACATTGGAGTTCACAGTTGTGGCCAGAGCGGTCAGTGGCAGGCATTGTGAAACAGCTGCTGGTGGACTGTTAGGGTCGACATAAGTAACGCAACAGCTATACTCATACTCACGCTGCATTGACCTCAGTGTGTCAACCGTGGCTCCATGCCATTTGGGGAAGTGGTGTCACTGCATTGCTATAACGGGGCACTTACATCAGTGGGAAACAAATTTAAGTGTAGACACATGCACAGCTAGATTAACACAAGGCAGTGTGTGTTGACCTAATTTTGTAGTGTAAATCAGGATTGGATGACTTGCACCCAAGAGTTTTAAAAGTATTGGCCAAGGAGCTCTCTGTGGGCTGGTCTACACTGTGAATTTATATCAGCATTGCTTTGTTTCTCCTGGGTATGAAAAATCCACACCCCTGAGAGACATAGCTATGCGGATCTAACCACCAGTGTAGACCGTACTAGGTTGACAGAAGAATTCTTCCTAGCTACCACTTCTTGGGGATGTGAATTACCTATACCGATAAGAGAATCCTTACCTAATGATGTGGTGGATTCTCCAGTACTTGAAGTTTTTAAATCAAGATTGAATGTCTTTCTAAAAAAGATGCTGTAGCTCAGCTGGAAGATATGGGCTTGATGCAGGAATTACTGGGTGAAATTCTGTGGTATGCAGGAAGTCAGAATGGTTCCTTCAGGACTTAAAATCTATGAATTAAGGGCTGCATGTCATACATGCACAAGGAGGCACAGTTAAAGTTGCACTTGCAACTTTAATTTGGCATTTTCTGGCTTCTGAATGCTGAACTGGTGTAGAATTTTTAAACTCTAGTAAAGCCTAATTTAGCTTGGGCGGCACCTCTATCTAGCCTATACCAGTTTTGTTGATTGAGGATTCCCTTCTATTTTTAGTGGGTTTCTTCCATGGAATGGTTTATAGCTAATTTCAAAAATATATCCCCTAAAATTGCTATAAAGTTATTCTCTTGACTCTTTAATTAATTTACCTAGAATCTCTTGGCAGGAGGAGCTGAATGCATGAGATCACTAAGATGAACACTGACATCTCTTAGTTTCTTGCATGATGGAAGATATGCAGTTCAAATGAATGCAGTTCCACTCTTCTTAATTTAGATCAATGTGCAGCAAGTCAGGACTTGTCTACGCTGCGAATGCTACAGGGCCATCACTTTGTTGCTGTAACCCCATAGTGTAGATGTGGACTACAGTAGCAGAAAGTTTTTTTCCGTCACTGTAGAAACTTCACCTCCCTTATTTAATTTAGCATGTGTATAATAATCTAGCCAAGCAATGGCATCTTCAGTGGCATGATGCATAGGTGCCGACTCTGTGGGTACTCCGGGGCTGGAGCACCCATGGGGAAAAATCAGTGGGTGCTCTGCACCCACCAGCAGCCAAGCTCCCCACCCCACTCCCCCTGCCTCACCTTGCCTCCGCCTCCTCCCCTGAGCATGCCGCATCTCCACTTCTCTCTCCCTCCCTCCCTCCCCGCGCTTGCTGCCGCCAAACAGCTGTAGCAAGCTCTGGGAGGGAGGGGATAGGAGCGGGAACGTGGCACGGTCAGGGGAGGAGGCAGGGAAGAGACGGGACCAGGACGGGGATTTGGGGAAGGAGTTGAATAGGGGCAGGGAGGGGACGGAGTTAGGGTGGGGACTTTGGGGAAGGGGTTGGAATGGGGGTGGGCAGGGGTGGAGTCGGGGTACGTCCGGGGAGGGGGGTTGAGCACCCACCGGTGCCAGAAGTCAGCGCCTATGGCATGATGCAGTAGGCCATCGCTGAACTTAGTCAGCAGGCATTCATCGACGATGTGCGTCATCGTCTGTGTTGCACCACAGCTGCACAAAGAGCTGTCATGAAGGCCCCAGCGATACTGGCTGGCTGCAAAGAGACCTTGCCTGGTCCGGAACCTGTTCAACAGGGACCATTGGCGATGGGGCAGGTCAAAACCAGGTGGAAACATTGTGGGGTTGGCAGCAAGGGACTGGTTGGGGATTATAACAGATATCCATTCCTCTAGCCAGAGTGTTTCTGCCCTAACATCCTGCCGTGGCAGATGAGACCATAATGGGCAACATGACAGCAAACACGCAGCTAGTGGTTTAAAAAGATCATTATGCAGCAGCAGGCTTGAGTTGGCACATACTTTCTCCACTAACTTGCCAGTGGCAGCCTCTTGTCTGATAGGAGGAGGAGCAATATTGCTCAGAACTGGAAGCCATGGGAGTGGAGTCGGATGCAGGGTGCTGGAGATGATACGCATGGCGGCATGTAACTGCATATCCACCAGTTAGGTGTGTGATGATCGACTCCAAACTGGTGCACAGTACTCCACCACCGAATACGAGGTGGAAAGAGCTGACGTCCGCAAAGTTGGAGCACGAGTACCCCATGACGAACCTGCCAGTTTGCTAAGACGATTGTTGCACTGTTTTCTTCAGGTGGGTATGGTAACGCAGTGTGTGGTCTAAGGTCACACCTAGATAGACTGGTTCTACTTCATGCTTCACCTTCTGACCATTCAGATAAACTTTCAATTCTCGGGTGGCGCTGGAGTGGTGAAGATGGAACAAACCGGAGACTGTTTTTACCTCTCTGAGCAAGGGTAACTAGGTCGACGAAAGCATTCTTCCATTGCCCTAGCTGCATCTACACCAGGGGTGTGCTCGGCATAGCTATGGTGCTCAGAAGTGTGGATTTTTCAGACCCTCAGCAGCCTTGCTGTCCCAGCCTAAGTTTTAAGTGCAGCCCAGGCTTCGGTCTTTTGTTGCAGTGGGTGTAAAAGAGTACGGCCTGTTCTACAGTTAACTTTTAAGTCGACACAGGTAGGGCACTTAGAGGTGTGAAAAATTCACACCCTTAGCATCATAGTTAAGCTGATCTACCCACCAATCTAGACATAGCTAGATCGACAGAGGAATTTCTCTGCCAATCTAGCTACCACTTCCCTGGGAAGTGGATTACTTACATGGATGGAAAAACCCTTTCCGTTGCTGTAGGAAGCATCTACACTATGGCACTACAGTGGTGTAGCTGCAGCACTGTAGCACCCATAGTGTAGATGTGGCCTAAGAGTCACAATAGGGCATGTTTTGGGAATGCTCTCTAGCTCAGATATTTTGGGACTCTAATTTGTGTTGAGTTTCTGACATCTCATCATCCTTCCCCCCCACCCCCGAAAAGGTAATACACTACAAGCTTTTGTGTGTTACCAGAAAGACAAGCCTTCTGTCCTGGAAAGACTCAGGATCTGTATACAAACTTAGGTCTCAAAGGTAGTGGGGCTCTGTGTGAGTACAAGGGCTCTTCTTCATGGCTCTAATTGCAAGATTGGGGCTTGGTTCTTCTCAGCGCTGCATCTCTATGATGCTGAACCAGCACGTGTAAGATTTGAGGAAAATCTCATTTTCCAGGATTAAGGATATTCACTCTAGATAATGTCGTTTGCCTTTGCAAGTTTGATCTGCTTTTTTGTTTTGCATTGCATGTACTGTATGGTCTCATTCCCTGTGTTATTCACAGTTCCTTAGAAAGTTTAGTTTGCTTTAGATCTGACTTTTGGTTTGTATCCTTAGGCAAACACAATTTTATCTATACAGTGTTATAGGCAGTTTTGTGATTGTGATCAATAACTTGCAGGACAGGTGTCTTCTGTAGTTTTGGGTGGACCTTCTTGTATTTAAATGTATATTTTAATAAAAGCAAGAATAGGTTTGTCCTATTATTGTAAGCTGTTTTGAGACAGGAAATTAGTAAAGTAAACTTGTGGCTTTTTCTAATTTTCTTTCCGTTTAATGTCTTGAATTCAGAAACTTCTCTTTTGGGGCAAGAGGAAGTTGTTTAACATTAACCACAATAATTTATCCAAGTTAAAAGGGACTGTTTGGGTGAGTTACTATTTATTATTTGCATTATGGTACTGCCTCAGGAGCAACCGAGAACAAGTTCTCATTGTGCTAGGCACTGTACAGAGTACTAGACAGTCCCTGCAGGGAGGGGAGCATGCAGGGCAGGCAGAAGAGACAGAAGGGGGCAGAGGTTGTTGGAGTAAGCAGCTGAAGGGCAGAGTCCGAAAGCAGAAAGGAGTCTGACATCCGTGTCCACAAGTCCCTGTTCCAGCGACTTCTGCATCTGCTCCTGCAGGCTTAAGAATTTCTCGGCCTCCTCCCTTTCCTCTCCCCTCCCCGCTCCAAGCTGGCTCCTTCCTGCAGTTTCTTTTCCCCCAAACCCACATGGCTCAGGTGTGGGGGTGCTGCACAGGTCCTGTGGTCCCAGAGCTGTAATGATGAATATGAGAAAGATAATGAAGAGGTGAGGATAATTTCCAGGAGTTGAAGGTAAGGAAAGTGAAACTGAAAGGATTGAACACACAGACGTGAAACTGAATGATGCCTTCCTCTGATTATGTTAGGTTGGACTTACTAGTATCAAATTAGAAAATGTTCAAAGTGATACAATTAAAATAAGGAATTTTTTCAGAAGTCAAATACTGCCTGTTCTCCCCCTCGCCCCACTTTCCATTTTCACAGCACAAGCTGACAGTTACACCAGCAAGATCATTGCATATGGCATGCTGCAGATAATAAAAAGTTGTTTTACCCATCGAGATAATGTACACTTTGGCAACATCATTTCTCAAATGCCCAGTCCTTTGGCTGTGGCTGCACTGATCTTTCACTGGGCTGTGCACTTCTTAACTCAGCTGTGGCTTTTTGCTGACTTTTGATTCCTCAGGCTCTTCCTATACTAGCCAACAACACTCTGAATTCAGCGCTGGAAGCATCTTTCACTGGATTCTTCTCCTTTTAGTTTCCCCTTTAGGGTTATAGTAAAATCCCCAGCAATCCTGGGAAGAGCTTTTATTTAGTTTAGAATGAAATATGGTCTCCACTTTGACAGCTCAGAAGCAGTCAAGCTGCGTTTCTGCAGCAGTAAACAGTTGTGTAACTGCAAATTGCTCTTCACAGGTACTAGCAGGACACCAGAACATTCTTGGAAAAGTTTGAATTTCAGAGTAGTGTCCCAACTGATCCAGGTGTCTCTCAAAGGCCAGAAGAGCTTACAGGATCTTTTCAAGGTATCTTACATAATAATTTTATGATTTAGTTTTCCATAACTCCTTGGAAGCTTGAAACGGAAATCTATTTCCTTGACAAAAACTGTTCTGTTGTGTGCTCATTAGTTTACTGTAGGGTTGCTTATGAGTTGGCATGAGAACTTGTGCAGATAAAAGATGTACAATTCTTTTTTTTTTTAAATGCAGAAAGAATAACAATATTTTGGAAATAGATGAATGGAAAATAGTAATACTAACATTGCTTTTCTTTGCCTGGGCAGGACTCTTTAATTATTGTTTAAAAAAAAAGTTATCTTGGGAAAGAAGAGTCCATGATTTTTCATGACAAAGTTATAGAGAAGAAAAGACCTGTACAGAGCTGTTTACAGAGTTTCCTGCTGTATTTTCTGTTTGGCACGGCTCTGTAGCAGGATTAGCCAATGCAGGAAAACTTGTTTCTTTTAAAAAGGAAAAAGTATTGTGATAACAAATATCCCATTTGTTTAGGGGTTTACCCAAACCAAACAAATGGTATTTATTTAATAGTAATTTTTATAATAATAATATGCATGGCATCATTAATGCCACAAATATTATGGTGATTAAAAATAACATGCATTACTATCCATTCCTTGTTGTTTTTCAGCCGTTTTCACCTGGTAATAATGTTGCTTTTATTCACATAGATCCTTATGTTGAATATCAAATGTTTACGATTTCTCCCTCAAATAAAATCTACTAGTATAAACATATTATCTATTAGGATCAATTAACATCCAACTCTCTCAAAATCCATGTAAAGGTGAGATCTGTGCAGACATAGAGTTCTCAACCCATTGACCCACAGCTGTGCTATATTAGAGGCATAATGATGATCTGGCATTTAAATTGGCTCTTTCTTCTTCCTACTCCAGAGAGCTCTTTTTAGCCACAGATCCCAAATAGTTTACAGCCTTAAACAGAGACACAAGCTCTACTCAAGGATCACTTCACCCAAAACTGACATGCATCTGCTTTGGGGTCAAAGGCAGCTGCTGTCTGACAGTACACGCTAACACTACATAACCGTTTTGGAGAGGAAGTGAAGGGGAATCCTGTATCCAACTGCAGAGGGGGCATTTAGGAAGGCTGGATGTAGTTCCTAAGCTGGAAGTTGGCCAGGCCATCTGGGTTAACATCCATAATGTTATAAAAAGCGTCACAGGATCTTTAATGTTCACGAATGGTCAGGACCTTTATGTATAATAGAAAATATAAATATACTATAATAAATAATACATCTTTACTTTTAATCTCTCCTTGCTGAAGGATTCTGGATGTTGTACAATGAATAAACTAAGAGCAATTAATAAGCTTTAGGACATTGGCTCATCTTCATTGCTTCAGGACTGGCCAGTTCCTTAGGGGTTGGGGAGGCCTGTGTGGTCTTTGTACTAGGAAAGGGATGAGGGAGAACCGTTCATTTTGGTTTTCCTGGACAAGGTTAGTTAGGTTACTGTGAAAATGTCAAAGTCTGGAAGGAAAGGCTGAAATTTCTGACCATTCTAGAGATGAAAAACCACTGCGGAAAAGATGGCCTTCTGCATTCAGCTCACAATCACAAAGTCTGTAGACCAACTCATAATATTTGGGGCAGACTTCATCAATACAGATAAGACCCTTTCAAACTGCAGAGACTCTCAATTTTATCCAATAGAGAGCAGAAGATAAAAGCCCTAATGATCCCAATTAGACACACTGATTTAATTATAGGTTTCAGAGTAACAGCCGTGTTAGTCTGTATTCGCAGAAAGAAAAGGAGTACTTGTGGCACCTTAGAGACTAACCAATTTATTTGAGCATGAGCTTTCGTGAGCTACAGCTCACTTCATCGGATGCATACCGTGGAAACTGCAGCAGACTTTATATATACACAGAGAATATGAAACAATACCTCCTCCCACCCCACTGTCCTGCTGGTAATAGCTTATCTAAAGTGATCATCAGGTGGGCCATTTCCAGCATGTTTGGGAAAAATCATGAACTTTTTACAGTTTGTTACAATGCGGTTATGTGGCCATGTCTGTGACATTTCATGCTTTTTTCTAGAGTTCATTTACCTTTTGGCCTTTTGTCATAACAATGCCTCGGTATTCCCAAATGCCCAGCACGGCTGTTGACTTGTGCAGAAAATAGGGAATGGTTAGAGCTGCCAAGTTTTGTGCAGTTCCATGTGAGACTTTTTATGCAAATGATTTAATTAGCTAAATTGTATATCATCTTTGGCTTTAAAAAATTGTGTAGATTTAATGCTGATGAAAGGCATTGGCTTGGTCTTCTATTCAGCTAAAGCGGAACAGCAGGGCAGGCTTTCCACAAACACTACCCATCCAGCATGCCTCACCCCTGATCTTGGGGAAGGGGAAAGGACTTTCCTGCAGAGATAGTAGGGATAGTTCTTAAAAGGGAGTCATATATGTATTCTCAGACAAAAAAAAAAACCTACATGAAGGTGGAACTGAGTTTGAGAATACATATTAGTAAATTAAGGGTAAAAATATAACTAATGGGGATATTATAATTATCCCCAAATGAAGCATAATAAATCCACAAAATTCCTAGTTAAGGTTACACTTGAAAGAAATCCAAAGATGTCAAGATAAGAAATGTTATGTGCAGTGTAGTTGTAGCCATGTCAGTCCCAGGATATTAGAGAGACAAGGTGTGTGAGGTCATATCTTTTCTTGGACCAGATTCTCTCGCCAACAGAAGTTGGTCCAATAAAATATGTTACCTCACTTACCTTGTCTCTCTCGGGTAAGAAATGCACAATTAAGGCCTGGTCTACATTAGGAATTTACAATGGTATAGCTATGTCTCTCAGGGAAATCCATACCCCTGAGAGACATCGCTATACCGACCTAACCTCCGGTGTAGACCAGCACTAGGTCAACGGAACAGTTCTTTCATCGACCTAGCTACTGCCTCTTGGGGAGGCCTACAATGATGGGAGGACTTCTCCCATCAGCATGGGTGGTATTTACACTGAAGAGCTACAGCTGCAGCAGTGCCGCTGCAGCCTTTTACGTGTAGACAAGTTCTGATGAATTCAAACAGCATTCATTGTCAAAGGCAGAGATGAACATAATTTGTTGGGGAAACGTCAACATAGGTTTTGTAAAGGGAAATCATGACTCACCAATCTACTAGAATTCTTTGAGGGGGGTCAACAAGCATGGACAAGGAGAATCCAGTGGATTTAGTGTACTTTGATTTTCAGAAAGCCTTTGACAAGGTCCATCACCAAATGCTCTTAAACAAACTAAGCTGTCATGGGATAAGAGGGAAGGTCCTCCCATAGATTGGTAACTCGTTAAAAGATAGGAAACAAAGGGTAGGAATAAATGGTTAGTTTTCAGAATGGAGAGAGGTAAATAGTGGTGTCCCCCAGGGGTCTGTACTGGGACCAGTCTTAGTCAACATATTCATAAATGATCTGGAAAAAGGGGTAAACAGTGAGGTGGCAAAACTTGCAGATGATACAAAACTACTCAAGATAATTAAGTCCCAATCAGACTGCAAAGAGCTACAAAAGGCTCTCACAAAACTGGGTGACTGGGCAACAAAATGGCAGATGAAATTTAATGCTGATAAATGCAAACTAATGCACATTGGAAAACATAATCCCAACTATATGTAACCCTTCTGCCCGTCAGAGTTGGCAGCAACAAGGGCCAGGTTCAATATCTAGGGGATCCATTCCAATAACAAAATGCAAACCGGCTCGAGCCCCCACCCAGTGACCTGGGACAAATATATACCACCCCCACTGGGCGCCTCCAAGAGGCAATACTTCCCCTCTCGCAAGCACATAGTCTGAGTGTAGCAAAAAGCCTTTTAATAACAGAGAGAAACAATGTGGCATTATGTTGGGGAAACACCACCAGCAGGATTCATAACACAACCCATGAGCAAAAAAAACCCACCCCAAGCAAATTGGGGCATGCCCTTTTCCCTTAGGTTCTTGAGTCCAGCAACCCCAAATCACCCAAAGTCCCAAAAGTCCAATGACCCAAAAATCTCTGTCCCTGGTCAGGGCAGCCCCAGAGTTTTCGAAAGTTTATCTGCAGAGCTTTACCTCCCAACCCGGGTGGAGATGGGACGGGGGTAAGAGGCACCTTACATGATCTGAAGCTGACCGCCCCATAGCTCCATAGCTTCGCTCCGCTCCGCCAGCTGCCCCACGAACTCCTTCGCTCAGCTGTGCTCCGCTCCGCCAGCCGCCCACAAACTCCTTCGCTCAGCTCCACGGCCCACAAGCAGCTCCTGCCATCCACAAACTGCTCCGCGTCGAACTGCTTCACCAGCCTGTCCACAAGGCACTCTAGCCATCCCGCAAACTGCTCCACAATATATCGTCAGGCTCTCCCACTACTTAACACAACGCTCAGTGATTTCAGCTCTTAGGTGAATTCAGCTTGTAGTAGGGGAGCCCCAGTGCTGGTGCACTGTTAGCCCAAAGCGAGCTCAGCAGCCTATAACTAGACTTCTAATGAAATCAAAATTAGCTCTGATATTCCACAGTGGAGAGAGGAGGAAGTGCAATTAGCATGTAAGGCCCTCACCAAGGGGCCCATACCACCAAACATTAATACTTATCCCCAGCCTCTCTCAATTCACAGAGTTTTGGAACCCATGACCTTTGCCTAGCGAGTGCTACTTAATTGATGGAGAATCCCTCCATCATAACAAAAGGCCACGTACAGTTCCAAGCACAGTTCCCATAATCAGGGTAATAACAATTTATTCTTCCTGCCCCAATAACAGAGACATTAGGGATCCCACAGCAGCCAAAGTGACCATTTGGGCAGCTATGGTCTCATTCTAGGCGTGGTGGGTGTGCCTATGCAAATGAGATCGGCCCCTGAAGTTCTTTTCCACAACTTGCCACACCTCACCACCAGATGTCAGGGTGGAGCTCATCCTGACACTGCTTACATCTATGTATAAAATGATGAGGTCTAAATTAGCTGTTACCACTCAAGAAAGAGATCTCAGAATTATTGTGAATAGTTCTCTGAAGACATCCACTCAATGTGCAGCGATAGTCAAAAAAGCGAACAGAATGTTGGGAATCATTAAGAAAGGGATAGATAATAAAACTGAAAATATCATAATGCCTCTGGATAAATACATGGAGTGCCCACATCTTGAATACTGAGTGCAGATATGGTCACCACATCTCAAAAAAGATATATTGGAATTGGAAAAGGTTCAGAAAGGGGCAACAAAAATTATTAGGGGTATGGAATGACTTCTGTATAAGGAGAGATTAATAAAACTGGGACTTTTCATCTTGGAAAAGAGATGACTAAGGGGTGATATGATAGAGGTCTATAAAATCATGACTGGTGTGGAAAAAGTAAATAAGTGTTATTTACTCCTCAGAACATGAGAGCTAGGGTTCACCAAATAAAATAATAGGCAGCAGGTTTAAAACAAACAAAAGGAAGTATTTTTTCATACAACGCACCGTCAACCTGTGGAACTCCTTGCCAGAGGATGTTGTGAAGGTGAAGACTATAACAGGTTTCAAAAAAGAAATAGATATGTTCATGGAGGATAGGTCCATCAAAGGCTTTTAGCCAGGATGGGCAGGGATGGTGTCCCTATCCTCAGTTTGCCAGAAGCTGGGAATGAGCGAAGGGATGAATCACTTGATGATTACCTGTTCTGTTCATTCCCTCTGGGGCATCTGGCATTGGCAACTGTTAGAAGACAGGATACTGTGCTAGATGGACCTTTGGTCTGACCCAGTATGGCCGTTCTGATATTCTTATGTTCTTAACTCTGCCCTGTAGTGGTGTCATGTGGAAAACATAGGGTTATAATTAAGGGATTTTAGTTCTTGTGGTCCTAGATTAAGACTAAAATGATTTTGATACTTTTTTCACCTTGTGGTATATTCAAATTCTACAGAATTTAAATTTTCATTTAAAAAATATGTAGCTCTTATGGTTGCAAAGAGAACCTTCCAAATGTGAAACAAGTAACTAGATTCAATATTTTCTTCGTGGGTCTTCACACAACATGAAACAACTACTCTGGGAAATGCAAACTGCCTTGCTCCCTTAATCTCAATATGGTGATAACTTTAAAGGCCAATGATGACATTTTAAGTGTCTGCATTAACTACTTAATTGTTTATAAGTTTAGTGGTGGAATGGGGAAGAGGGAGGAAATTGGGCGTTACTGCAGGGAAGGAAGTGCAGAAGGCAAAAAAGAGGAGAGACACAGTGGGCACAATTTGCAGTGGTATCACAGAGAGCTGTCAGAAAGCGACCATAAAACTACTGTAAATACCTCCCAATGGGTGTAGAGTTCCTATATCCTAGCTATCAGACTCAGAGGTCCATGTTTCTGCCATGTATACCTGGAATACACCTCTCATTAAGGAAGCCATTTGGCATGTCATTTAAATTTATTCTGCATGTTATTTGGAATATATTTAAGGCAGAGTTAGGATACTGGTGATAAAACAGCAGTATAATAATGAGAAGCTTTTGTATAATAGCAGTATAATGATGAGAAGCTGCTCCTCAGGGCAGAGGCACATATTATCTACTGAACAGCTCCGTGTACGTCTTTGCTGCTATATTAAGTATAATTAAATGTTGTTGTGATACAGTAACAACTCCTTTCATTGATATGGTGCTCCAACAGCTCACCATGTGTGCATGTTGCATTGCAGAGGGTCACAGTCATTGGACTAATTTAGAAGCCTCATTGATAAAGGGTGACTTATATTCTGGATTTACAAAGGAAAAGAAAGAAATATTCCTGGCATCTCCAACTCTAGAGCCGAAATGGGGAAAAAAGCAGCTGACATCACCATAAGGAGGGAGAAATGATCTTCAGACGGACAGGTAACAAAGGGCTGTGTGTGTTTATGTATAATTAACTGACCTGCACAGTGAAGCAGGTAGGTGTTACTCTGCTGCATATATTGCATGTAAGCAGCTCATTCAGAAGGCCAGAAAGGGTGCCCACCTGCAGAAGTAAAGAAACAGATTGATAGAGCCAGAAGAGTTCCCAGAAGTTACCTACTACAGGACCGGCCTAACAAAGAAAATAACAGAACGCCACTAGCGGTCACCTTCAGCCCCCAACTAAAACCCCTCCAACGCATTATTAAGGATCTACAACCTATCCTAAAGGATGACCCAACACTCTCACAAGTCTTGGGAGACAGGACAGTCCTTGCCTACAGACAGCCCCGCAACCTGAAGCAAATACTCACCAACAACCACATACCACACAACAGAACCACTAACCCAGGAACTTATCCTTGCAACAAAGCCCGTTGCCAATTGTGCCCACATATCTATTCAGGGGACACCATCACAGGGCCTAATAACATCAGCCACACTATCAGAGGCTCGTTCACCTGCACATCCACCAATGTGATATATGCCATCATGTGCCAGCAATGCCCCTCTGCCATGTACATTGGTCAAACTGGACAGTCTCTACGTAAAAGAATAAATGGACACAAATCAGATGTCAAGAATTATCACATTCATAAACCAGTCGGAGAACACTTCAATCTCTCTGGTCACGCAATCACAGACATGAAGGTCGCTATCTTAAAACAAAAAAACTTCAAATCCAGACTCCAGCGAGAAACTGCTGAATTGGAATTCATTTGCAAATTGGATACTATTAATTTAGGCTTAAATAGAGACTGGGAGTGGCTAAGTCATTATGCAAGGTAGCCTGTTTCCTCTTGTTTTTTCCTACCCGCCCCCCCCAGATGCTCTGGTTTAACTTGGATTTAAACTTGGAGAGTGGTCAGTTTAGATGAGCTATTACCAGCAGGAGAGTGAGTTTGTGTGTGTATGGGGGTGGCGGGGATGTGAGAAAACCTGGATTTATGCAGGAAATAGCCCGACTTGATTATGTAAAGAGTTGTCACTTTGGATGGGCTAGCACCAGCAGGAGAGTGAATTTGTGTGGGGGGGTGGAGGGTGAGAAAACCTGGATTTGTGCTGGAAATGGCCCACCTGATGATCACTTTAGATAAGCTATTACCAGCAGGACAGTGGGGTGGGAGGAGGTATTGTTTCATATTCTCTGTGTATATATAAAGTCTGCTGCAGTTTCCACAGTATGCATCTGATGAAGTGAGCTGTAGCTCACGAAAGCTCATGCTCAAATAAATTGGTTAGTCTCTAAGGTGCCACAAGTACTCCTTTTCTTTTTGCGAATACAGACTAACACGGCTGTTACTCTGAAACCTTCTTAAACCAGTATGTTGTAAGAGAAAGACAGTACCCAGGGATTTCCAAAAGTAAAGGCTACTTGAACACACTTGATTAATTGCTTTTGGAAAGTGACAATGAGAACAGACAGTAGTGAAGCAGCAAAATAAAAGGCTATCTAATATTAGCAACTGAATTACTCAATTGCATAACAATTGACTTAGTAACAGAGATGAGAGAATTATAGTAAATGGTTACAGAACAGGTAGCAGAGGAGTGACAAATAACATGTTGCAGGCATTGCTGTTGGGCCCAGTTTTGCTCACAATATATCAATGACACAGAAAAGGGAATATGCAAGGAGTGCAAATTTGCTGAAGTCATAACTAAGAAGGACAGCTGGTACCATAGAGCAGGGCATTGGATTGAAAGGCACTAAATGGGGACTGGAGCTGACAAGAGACTTTTGCGTTTTAATGTAGAAAAATATAATAATATAATAGGGATAGGACTGAAAAGGACAAAGTGGATTCTGCCCTAAATTATCCCTATCAGCAAGGCACTGATTAGAAGAAGGGTCTGGAGAACAATGATAACAGAAAACTAAACTTAGCAGCTCAGCCAACAAGAAATCAAAGCACAAAAAGGAGAGAGTGATAGAGGGATAAGGCAGAAATGAGAAAGGGTCACAGGGTCAGCGAGACCAAACCTGGAGTGCTGGACACAGTTCAGGGTTCCATATAGCAAAGAGGATACTGAACATTACTCTTGTTTCTAGTAGTGCTCACGCTATGCTCGGCACACCCCCAAGAGAGCAGTGAGGGTGCTAAAATTCTCAGAGGGTACATACATAAGCCAAAGTTAGAGGAAAGGGTTTGTATTCCCTGGAAGAGAAGAGGGTATGACTGAGGGATAGCCATTTTTGAAGGATGGAGGGAATGTGAGTGTCAGAAATGCATTTGTCGGGGTAACAGGCTGAGAAAGAAAAGGGCATAAACTAAAGCTAAGAAATGTGTGAATACTAGTTGCCAAAATCTGTTTAATGAGCGGTAAAATGATGTGTTCCTTTCTGCTACTTGTCTGTGATTGAGAACGGATTAATTCAACATATATTTAAACATAGCATAATCAAATCATAGAAGAAAACACTTGAATCGTCATTTACATTTCATCCATACCCTTTTTTCTATATTTTTGTTTTGTTGCCAGTGCTAGAAACCCAATTGCTAATCTAGGGTCATTCAGATTTCACCATCAAGGGCCACGTTATCAATTGCCAGGAACATGAGAGAGACAGGTAATTTGCATCTATATACTTTTACAACTAAAAAGTAAATGTACTCTAGTATTTGTGTTTTTATCTTCCTGAGTAGATTAACAGAAATTTCTTCCTGGCTGAGTTTACCTGCAATGGAAAAACAAAACCGTTCTTAGAAGGGAAAAGCAGAAATGAGATTTGGCCTAATAGAATTTGTAGTGTCCATGAATGTACCTCCAAGCTCCTTTATTGCAACTCATATCTAGGAATGAAGCTTCACATCTGGAAAATCATCAACCAGTACAAAATGCAGTTGTCTTCTTAGTGAACACATCACCCCAGTGTTCCTTCCTCTGTATTTGGTCCTCACTGAATAGAGTCTATTTCAAGGTATCGGTTCAGATATTCAAAACCATCCATGCAAATGGCGCTGGCTACCCAAGATGTCCACAGTGTCCACAGTGATGACGTCCCACAACAGATGCTTTCCACAAAAACAATGAAACTGTTGACCAATAGTAGGAGGCTCATGAGTGTGAGGGACAGAACTTTCACAGCAGCCAGATCTACACGATGAAACTCACTTCTGCAAGAGATGAGTGACACCAAGCCTCACCCTATTCAGAACTAAGATCTTGTCTACAAGAAAGTTGTACCAATGTAATTAAGTTGGTTTCTAAATGTAAATCTCATCTCTTCAGTTTAGTTTCCCTTCAATAATTTCTTCACACACAAATGGATACCCAAGACACCCACTCATGCACGCAAACTGCCTATAAACTAATCAAATTATTTCTCTTACAGGCTGGGAAGGAAGAGAGACTATTGTTATCCTTTCAGTTTGGGAGGCAACAGATGCTAAGGCAATGGGGTTTAGAAAGTACCTAAATAGAAAGGTAGATCTCCCAATCCAAGTGTGCATCCACACTAGGAAGAAAAGGTGTTTTACCATATATTAGCTAACGCATGGTAACATCCTAGTGTGGACAGGGCAGTCTTAGTTCTCACATGTTAGCAGGTTGAGGTAAATGCTAACTAGGGGAAGCCTAAAGCTAATATATGGCAAAATACTCCTTTTTTCCTAGTGAAGACAAGGCCTAAGATAAATTAAACTGGAGGGTAGCCAAAGCTGCACTTACTCCACATTCTCCACATTGAGCCATTAGAGCACTCTTTTGGGACTCTTCTTCTAACCCCTCTTCACCATAAATTGCTTTCTGTCTGTCCTGGTTCTCAGCTTTTGGTTACGGAGCAAGTTGGAAGTTCATTTGTATTTAGAGTTTTTAACAGCTGAAGTCCAACCTAAGCCTCTCAGTTCAAGCCTTTACTGCATTTAAAAAGGGGAAGTAAAATCCCCAAAAGAAGTCCCTTGAACATTGACAGGGAAAGTGAAAACTTATAAATAACCGATTGCTTGGTACTAAGTGCATGGATGAACCCAGTAAGGACAGATGCTGTGGTTACTGATTTATGGCTATGGAGGACTTAAGAACAGTTCCAATGTCAATGGAGTTTCAGACATGCTAATAGCAGCTCTTTGCTGCTTGCTGCCCAGAAGCTGCTTGGCAGGGTCTCATTTCACATTAATTAATTTTCGTCTGAAAATTGTGTTTTCTGGCCTAAATTGATGGTTATAATTATTATTCCTCTGAATTATTTCTAATATGAAATGCAGCAACCGTTTAATAGTTCACAGAAACAGTATACAGCAGTTTTAGATCAGAAACAAGGGAGAATCTGCAGAGGACTTTAAGGAGGTGGATATCTTGATTCTCATTAAGTTTATTACACTCCATGTTTTAATCTTGTCTTTAGTCCTTGAATTCGTACTTGTGTTACTGTAGACCACCCATGATACACTAGCTGAAGGTTCTGTGGAGATAACATTACCATGTATTTTTGAGGTATGTATTGGTTTTTTCAATTACTTTTCAAACCAAGTCAGAGAAAGGACATCATTCACCAGGGTTATCACCTTAAATTTGAAATATATATTGGTACATTTGTGTAAACATCACATGGGAGACACAAGAAGAATTGGAGTGTTGCCATTTTTAGGACACAGTGAAAGACTTCTTTTTGTGCAAATCTGTTCACAGAAACAGAGGTCTACAATGATCTGTATGTTCTCCAGGTGCGGATTTAGCCTTTTTAGGGTTCTGGATAAATCAAGGGAGGAGAGGAGAGTTTAGGCCAATATAGGGAGAACCAGTGTGAATCTAATTTTTGTTACATGACACCTAGAGAGGTAGGGGAATTAGAAGTATAGACAGCAGACTTTCAGTGTCCTGCATGCAAATCTCAATGGTGCCCCCTGCTGGTTTGGGTTGGTTTCAAAAGGTTTTGTTTAAGGCATCTTACATCTAGAGCTGGGTAAATAATTTATTTTTTGGTTCAACCTGCAAACCGAAAAATCAGAAACAATAGTTAGATAGATTCCAAAAATGTTCAGAATTTGTTAGCAAATATGTGTGTGACCTTTAGACGAGTGCAGGGGTGGCCAACCTGTGGCTCTGGAGCCACATGCAGCTCTTCAGAAGTTAATATGCGGCTCCTTGTATAGACAGGCACTGGGGCTGGAGCTATACATGCGAACTTTCCAATGTGCCGGGGGTGCTCACAGCTCAACCCCTGGCACTGCCACAGGCCCTGTCCCCACTCCAGCCCTTCCCATCCCCTCCCCTAAGTTTGCTGTGCCCTCGCTCCTCCCCCCCAGCCCCAGCCTCCTGCACACCACGAAACAGCTGATCGGGAGGTGGGGGAGGGAGAGGGTGGCGCTGATCAGCAGGGCTGCCGGTGGGTGGGAGGCGCTGGGAATGGTGGGGGGAAACTGATGGGGGGCTGCTGACGTACATGGCTCCTTGGCAATATACATTGGTAAATTCTGGCTCCTTCTCAGGCTGGTCACGCCCGGCCTAGTGGTTAAGGGCACTTGCTTGGGAAGGAAAAAACTAAGGTTTGAATCCCCACACTGGAGCAGGGATTCAATTGAGAGCTGTACTCTCCTAGATGAGCATTCTAACCACCAGGCTACAGACAATTCTGAGATGGGTCACTCTCAGTCTCTCCTGTTAAAGGTGTTCTACTTTGTATAAATACTTAAATATTCATTGGACCAAAGAGAGAGAGTTAGTGAAAATGACAGTTCCCTGGTGATTAAGCCACTCACTGGGAGGTAGGAGTTGTGGATTCAAATCTTCTCTCTGCCTGATTTAGAGGAGTGATTTGAATTCACATCTCCCACATCCCAGGTAAGTGCTCTAACTGCTAGGCTGACAGATGAATGGACATGCGCTCTCTCACTTCCCTGAAGCTGGCCCAAACTAACTGGGTCAAATTCATGATAGTTTCAGCTCAATCAAAAGTGCATTTTTGGCACATAACATATTTGTTGAAAAAATGTCATCCTACTTCACTCTGATGGAGGAAGGTGGATTGCCCAGTGTGGCTTTCAAGAGACCAAGGATTGTTAATGCCTTCAGTGCTGCATTAGAACGGGGGAGACTACAAGGACTCACACTCTTGTCGCCTTCTTTGCCATATATTCTGTGTTGTGGTGTACAGCATATTCAGTTATTTCCAGTAAGGGTACCAAATTAATTCTGTTGAGAAGACAAATTGCTGTTTAAAATTATTTGGTTTTTTTTGTGCACGCAAATAACTGATTTGTTGACCAAGTGGTAATACCATGCAAGTTACATGATCAGTCGTGTACCTTTATTATTGTAAAATATGGCTCATGACGTGATTCAAGAGTTGGAATCCAATTAGATGACTCGTTCACGTCTCTTAGAGCTGTTATTTCAGGCTGTGTACAGATTCAGGAAAACCGCTCTGCCTCAGTTATGTATAGGCTACACGTGTTTCATATTTTTAAGATTTTCTTTACAATAGTAAGAGCTAGAGATATGCTTCTTTTCATGAACACTTGCATTCTGCAAAATCTGTCATGTAGGCTGAATAAATAACAGAAACAGACCATATCTGGCTCATGGGTCCTATGTTTAAAACCTGTTTGAGTTTCTTTCCATAGATCTATGTTACTAAAAGCTTTAAATTCAGAATAAATTAATAGTGTGAGAATGTATCTTAATAATTAAAACTAACTAAATAATAGGCAGATAACTGTTGCATCAAACAGTGATGTCATGGTATCATGTGTGTTCTTATGTGGCTGTATAGTCCAATCCGTGAAGAGCAAGATAACAAACAGATATCTACACAGGAATGTGCAGGCTCCCATTTGATACTTGGCTGTCTTTTCGATCGATTTTTCACATCTGTCTTCCTCTAAGTGTTTACAACTTTTATGGATAGTTGCTTTCCATTCAGATCTGTCTGTGGCTCTGTCTTCAAAGTTATCAGTAGTTATGCTGCATGAGGTGAGATTCTGCTGAGGTCTGTCCTAGCAGGGCTTTCATTGACTACCCCTCTTGCATTTTCTGAGTTTCAGCTCACCATAGAAAAGTTTTGTTGGGAGTCTATCGTTGCCCATTCTTACACTATGACCTGTCTGTCCAAGCCAGGGGTGGGCAAACGTTTTGGCCTGAGGGCCACATCGGAGTTGCAAAACAGTATGGAGGGCCGGGTAGGGAAGGCTGTGCCTCCGCAAACAGCCTGGCCCCGCCCCCTATCTGCCCCCCCACTTCCCGCTCCCTGACTGCCCGCCTCAGAACCCCTGACCCATCCAACCCCCCTCCCGGGACCCCCCACCCCTAACCGCCCCCGCAGGACCCCGCCCCCTATCTAAACCCCCCCGTGCTCCCTGTCCCCTGACTGCCCCGACCCCTATCTACACCCCCACCCCCCGACAGGCCCCTGGGGACCCCCGACCCATCCACGCCCCCCCACTCCTTGTCCTCTGACCGTCCCCTTCTGGGACCTCCGTCCCTAACTGCCTCCCCAGGATCCCACCCCCTATCCAACCCCCACTGCTCCCTGTCCCCCCCCACCCAGGACTCCCAACCCCCCAGGACCTCACCCCCGATCCAAGCCCCCCTGCTCTCTGTCTCCTGACCGCCCCCCTCCCCAAATCTCCACCGCATCCCATCCCCTGACTGTCCCCCTGGACCTTCTGCGACTTATCCAACCTCCCCCCGCCCCCTTACCATGTCGCTCAGAGCGGCAGGACAGGCTTATTGGAAAGCCTGGTAGGTGGGCGGGCTCAAGCTGCACTGCCCGTGCGGCGGCGTAGCTACAGGGGAGGGGGGACAGCGGGGGAGAGGCTGGGGGCTAGTCTCCCCCGGTCAGGAGCTCAGGGGCTGGGCAGGACGGTCCCGCAGGCCGGGTGTGGCCCGCAGGCCGTAGTTTGCCCACCTCTGGTCTAAGGAGAGCTTTGATTACATTGCCTTGTTGCTGGTTGTTTTTGCTTTTTCAAGTACTTCAATGTTTGAGACTTTGTCTCACCAGTGGAGCTTTAGAATAGAGCAGATATAGCACATATGAAATTTTACAAGATATTTAATGTGTTTGCAGTAAACTGTCCATGTTTCACATGATTATAAATGGGGTGCTATCTCTGCTGAATTTTATATCATAGACTCCAAGGCCAGTAGAGAGCACTGTGATAATAAAATCTGATCTCCTGTATAACACAGGCCATAGAACTCCCCTTTCCCCCCCCCCCAGCCAATTATTAGAGTACATTTTTTAGAAAAACATCCAAGCTTGATTTAAAAACAGTCAGTGATCGGAGAATCCACCACAATCCTTGGTAAATTGTTCCAATGATTAATTACCCTCACTGTCAAAAATTTATACCTAATTTCTCACATATATTTGTCTAGCTTCAACTTCCAGTACTGTATTGGGTTATATCTTTCTCTGCTAGATTGAAGAGCCCATTATTCTATATAGATGCTTATAGATTGTAATCAAGTCACCCCTTAACCTTATCTTTGTTAGACTCAAAGAGTTCAATCTATTTAGTTTATCACTACAAAGCATGTTTTCTAATACTCAGGGGTTAAAGTAAGTTAGAGGACTTACCGGTACGCCAGAGTCCTGACCAGGGAGCATGGCCTCAACCGGAAGAGGGGTGGCCTTAACCAGAAGAGGCAGGGCCTTAAATCTCCAGGCCCTTTAAATCTTGATTTCAAGGGCCAGGGCTCCAGCTGCAGTAGTGGCGGCTGGGAGCCCAGGGCCTTTTAAATCACCCCCAAGCTACCAGCTGCAGAGGCGTCTGGGAACCCTGGGGCTCGGGGGCGATTTAAAGGGCCCGGGGCTCCAGCTGCTGCTATCAGAGCCCCGGGCCCTTTAAATCACTGAGGAGCCCTGGGGGCTCCCGGCTGCCACCGCTGCTCTGGGCTCTGGCAGAGCTTTAAAGGGCCTGGGGCTCCACTGTGGTAGCGGCTGCCGGAGCCCTGAGCCCTTTAAATCTCCGCCTGAGCCCTGCTGCCTGAGCCCCGGGGTAGCGGCGGCCAGGCTCCTTCGGGGATTTAAAGGGCCCCGGGGCTCCAGCCACTGCTACCGCCCCTGCCCTTTAAATCCACTCTGGAGCCCCACCGCCACTACCCCAGTGCTTCGGCAGCAGGGCTCCGGCGGGGATTTAGAGGCCCGGGGTGGTAGCGGTGGCTGGAGCTCCGGGGCCCTTTTAAATCCCCACCAGAGCTCCACTGCTGCTACCCCAGGGCTTGGGCAGCAGGGCTCAGGCGCGGATTTAAAGGCCCGGAGGGGTAGTGGGGGCTGGAGCTCCGGGGCCCTTTAAATCCCCACCTGAGCCCTGCTGCCTGAACCCTGGGGTAGCGGTGGTGGGGATTTAAAGGGGCGGTAGCGGGGGCTGGAGCTCCGGGGCCCTTTAAATCCCCGCCAGAGTCCTGCCGCTGCTACAACAGGGCTTGGGCAGCAGGGCTCAGGTGGAGATTTAAAGGGCCGGGGTGGTAGCAGTGGCTGGAGCTCTAGGGCCCTTTAAATCCCCGTCGCAGCCCCGCCGCCGCTACCCCAGGGCTTTAAATTGCCCTCTGGGAAAGCCAGTCCCGGTATGGCACACTGGCTCTTACTGGTACGCCGTACCGGGGCGTAGTGGCTTACTTTCACCTCTGCTAATACCTTAATCATACTTGTGGCTTTCTCTGAACCCTCTCCTGTCTATCAACATCCTTGAATTGTGGACACCAGAACTGGATGCAGTATTACAGCAGCAGTTACATCACTACCAAATACAGAGGTTAAAATAATCTCTTTTCTCCTACTCAAGATTTCCCTGTGTTATGTATCCAAGGATCACATTAACCCTTTTAACCATAGTGTTGCACTGGGAGCTTATGTTCAGCTGATTATCCACCGTGACCCCCAAATCTTTTTCAGAGTTACTGCTTTCCAGGGTATAATCTCCCATTCTGTAAGTATGGCCTATCTTCTTTGTTCCTAGATATAGACACACACATTTCGCCATATTAAAATGCACATTACATGTCTGCCCCCTGTTTATCAAGCGATCCAGATCACTCTGAATCAGAGGCCTGCCCGCTCCCAACATTTTAGAGTCATGTGCAAGCTTTATCAGTGATGATAAAAATGTTAAATGGAGTAGGATCAAAAACCGATCCCAGTGGGACCGCAGTGGAAAAGCACCCATTGATTTTGACTCCCCATTTACAATTACATTTGGAGACCTATCAGTTGACCAGTTTTTGATCCATGTAATGTGTGCCATGTTAATTTTTTATCATTCTAAGTTTTTTAATCAAAATGTCATGTGGTACCAAGACAAACACTTTACAGAAGTCTGACTATATTACACCAACACTATTAGTTTTATCAACCAAACTTGTAATCTCATTAAAAAAAATCAAGTTAGCTTGATAGGCTACATTTTCCTTAAACCCATGTTGATTTGCATTAATTACAGAACCCTCCTTTAATTCTGTATTAATTGAGTTTTGTATCAGCTGCTCCATTATCTTGCCCAGAAATGTCGTCAGGCTGACAGGCCTAATTATTCATGTCATCCCATTTATTCTTTTTAAAAACTGGCTCAACTTTAGCTTCCTTCTCATCCTTCTGAAAGTTCCCCAGTGCTCCAAGACTCATTGAAAATCAATATTAACGGTCTAGTGAACTCCCGGGCCAACTCTTTTAAAACTCTTGAATGCAAGTTATTTAGACCTGCTGATTTTAAAATGTCTGACTTGAGTAGCTTCTTTTTAGTATTTTCCAGCGATATTAGTGGAATGGAAAGAATGTTATCATCATCATAGGATGAGACTATATCATCTGTTTTTCCCCAAATACAGAACAGAAATATTTATTGAACATGTTTGCCTTTTCTAATTATTATTTAAATTTCTACTAATACCAATACCATTGTCAGGATTCTTTTTGTTTCAATCCCCGCAGCTCCCCACCGCTGTGGAGGGGCAGGGGGACCCCAGCAGCTCCTCACCACACTGGCAGCAGGGGGACTCCAGCAGCTCCCCACTGCCACCGGTGGCAGGGGGACCCGGGTGGTGGGGGCCCCTGTAGCTCTCAGCCACCCGACAGCTGCCCAGCCCTTCCCATTTTATCATGGATATTTTTAGTAAAAGTCAGGGACAGGCCACAGGCAATAAAGAAAATTTCACAGAAGCCCGTGACCTGTCCCTGACTTTTACAGAAAATATTCATGATAAAATCTTAGCCTTAATCATGACTGCAGAAAACTTACACTGAGAAAAAAACTATATTTGTGGTAAGAAAAGGAGTACTTGTGGCACCTTAAAGACTAAACAATTTATTTGAGCATGAGCTTTCGTGAGCTACAGCTCACTTCATCGGATGCATCCGATGAAGTGAGCTGTAGCTCACGAAAGCTCATGCTCAAATAAATTGGTTAGTCTCTAAGGTGCCACAAGTACTCCTTTTCTTTTTGCGAATACAGACTAACACAGCTGTTACTCTGAAACCTATATTTGTGGTGAGATATTTCAGAATATGGATGGGAGGAAACACTGACACTGGAAAGAATGGAGGTGCTTTTATTTTAGCTTTTGATGAAGGAACAGAGACGGGCTGCTAAAATTGGAGCAACAGGACATCCTGTCCGAAAGCAACAGCATGTTTCTCTTCCCAGATCTGAGTGTGGAGCAACAGATGTTCTTGTCAGTGTTAATGGGACAGCATCTGCCATATTCCATGAGCAGGAGGAAACACTTCTGGGGAGCGCTCTCCAGATCCAAGCATAACAGGAGAAAACAAGGCCTAGACAATGTGGAACTAGAAGAGATATAGCATGGGAGTGGTGGGAACAACCAGCTGGCCAGCCAGACACCCACAGAGAGAAATGGGGGTGAGAGGAAGGGAGTCAGTTAGTTTGTGTGTTCCGCTATGAGTTTGTTACTGGGTTTCTTTCTCATTGTGCTGCTCTTATGTCTGAGCTGCCCACGCCCACCAGGAGAGAGAGACTGGTAACCAGAACAAGGTGAGGTTATTTCCGTGCAACCTCTCCAGCTGTTGCATGTTTTCACTAACCAAGACTGTAAGCTTTTTGGGGCTGAGGCTGTCACTTATTACATGTGATTATTAGAGAGACAAGTTGGGTGAGGTAATATCTTTTATTGGACCAACTTGTTAATGAGAGACACAAGCTTTTGAGCTACACAGTGCTCTTCTTCGGGTGATTATAGCATCCAGCACCATAGGGCTAGGATACATGACTCAGCCCTTTGGGTACTATAGTGAATCCATTGTTACTGACGCTTGTGATATTTTTTCTTAAAACCCCGCTACTGGAGGGCTATGACTATATGAGAATCTTGGTTTTCATTTACCTCTAGAAAAAAATCGAAGTTTCCAGACCTCCTGCTTACAGAGAGAAATCTGAAACCAGGAGCTGAGCACCTGCAGAAGGCTCAGAAATGAGGTGAAGAAAAAGCACCCACTTTAAAAAAATGGTTTGAGGGTGGGAGTTGACTTGTGACTGTTGAGCACTTGGAGTTGGCCACACTGAGTGATGCTGAATGTAGGGTGATCAGATAACAAGTGTGAAGAATCAGGACATGGATGAGGGGGTAATAGAACAAAGCCCCAAGTATCGTGATTGTCCCTGTAAAATCAGGACATCTGGTCACCCTTGCGGAATGCCTGTTCATCTCTGGCTGTGTGAGCTGTGCTTGCTTGGTTGGCACGCCTGTCCAGAGGCCTGATTGGGCTGCAGTGCATTGTTCTGTACCTGCCCTTGGCTCTGTGCGCCCCTGGGGAGAGCTGGCCTGCGCCCCTACAGCCAGGAGGGGGCACTCTGTTGGCAGGTGCTGGCTGGCAGTGGGGCAGAGCTCCGCTCTGAGCAGGGAGGGCGCAGCCCAAACCACTGGTGCAGAAAGGCAAGGAAGAGCGAGTGAGCGCAGCTGGCTCCCGCATTACGCCCAGGGCCGGGAGGGGGCGGACTGGGAGAGCGGAGGTCCGGGGGAAACGCTCTCTTTGTGCAGCAGGACCCAGAGCACGCGGTCACTCACTCTCGCGCGTGCCCTCTGTCTGCCTGGCGGACTCCCGCCACTTTGAGCCAGGGGGCGGGGCGTTGCTGGGGCCGTCCTAGAGATGCACCAATCATAGCTCACTGCCGTGGGCATACACCAATCAGAGGCCAGTGCACTAACGTCGTTCTTGTCGTAAGCAATTTGCCCTTACGCAACCTATCAGTCGTAAATTGGGGCACAAGTCACCCAATCAGAGGCCTCGGGGCGTCACCGACCCGGGCGCGTCGCGGGTGGCCGAGTGTTGCCGCGGCCATTCTCCGGGGCTGGGGTTGGCTGGGCGCCGAGGGGACTGTCGCCGCCAAGGCGAGGGGAGCGTTCGGACGTGGTGGGAGCCGGACGGGCCTGGGAGGTGAGTGGCGCCCTGCGGCCTCCTGGTCCCTAGCGCCCTCCCCCGCCGAGTCCCGGAGGCTGCAGGGGGTTGCCCCCCCGGCTGTCAGAGCGGCCACGCCACAGCCCCCCCCCCGGCTGTCACAGCGGCCACGCCACAGCCCCCCCCCCCCGGCTGTCAGAGCGGCCACGCCACAGCCCCCCCGGCTGTCACAGCGGCCACGCCACAGCCCTCCCCCCCCCCGGCTGTCACAGCGGCCACGCCACAGCCCTCCCCCCCCCCGGCTGTCACAGCGGCCACGCCACAGCCCCGAGGGACAGCCCCTCCCTCGGCTGTCACAACGGCCACGCCACAGCCCCCCCCCCGAGGGCACAGCCCCCCCCCCCGGCTGTCACAACGGCCACGCCACAGCCCCCCCCCCCGAGGGCACAGCCCCCCCCCCTCGGCTGTCAGAGCGGCCACGCCACAGCCCCCCCGGCTGTCAGAGGGCCACGCCACCCCCCCCGGCTGTCAGAGCGGCCACGCCACAGCCCCCCCCCGGCTGTCAGAGCGGCCACGCCACAGCCCCCCGGCTGTCAGAGCGGCACGCCACAGCCCCCCCGGCTGTCAGGCAGACACCCCGGCTGTCAGGCGCACGCCACACCCCGGCTGTCAGAGGTCGCCACAGCCCCCGGCTGTCAGAGGTCACGCCAGCCCCCGGCTGTCAGAGGTCCACGCCACAGCCCCCCCGGTTACAGCCCCCGGCTGTCAGAGGTCCAGCCACAGCCCCCCGGTGTCAGCACGCCACCCCGGCTGTCAGGCCACGCACAGCCCCCGGCGTCAGAGGAGCACAGCCCCGGCTGTCACAGGTCCACGCCACAGCCCCCCCCGGCTGTCACAGCAGCCATGCCACAACCCCCCCCCGAGGGCACAGCCCCTCCCTCGGCTGTCACAACGGCCACGCCACAGCCCCCCCGAGGGCACAGCCCCCTCCCTCGGCTGTCACAACGGCCACGCCACAGCCCCCCCCCGAGGGCACAGCCCCCCTCCCTCGGCTGTCACAACGGCCACGCCACAGCCCCCCCGAGGGCACAGCCCCCCCCGGCTGTCACAGCAGCCATGCCACAACCCCCCCCGAGGGCACAGCCCCCCTTCCTCGGCTGTCACAACGGCCACGCCACAGCCCCCCCCCGAGGGCACAGCCCCCTTCCTCGGCTCTCACAACGGCCACGCCACAGCCCCCCCCCCCCGAGGGCACAGCCCCCTCCCTCGGCTGTCACAACGGCCACGCCACAGCCCCCCCACGAGGGCACAGCCCCCCTTCCTCGGCTCTCACAACGGCCACGCCACAGCCCCCCCCGAGGGCACAGCCCCCTCCCTCGGCTGTCACAACGGCCACGCCACAGCCCCCCCCCCGAGGGCACAGCCCCCTCCCTCGGCTGTCACAACGGCCACGCCCTGAGGGCACAGCCCCCTCCAGCTCTCACAGCGGCCACGCCACAGCCCCCCCCCGAGGGCACAGCCCCCTCCCTCGGCTGTCACAACGGCCACGCCACAGCCCCCCCCGAGGGCACAGCCCCCCTCCCTCGGCTGTCACAACGGCCACGCCACAGCCCCCCCCCGAGGGCACAGCCCCCCTCCCTCGGCTGTCACAACGGCCACGCCCTGAGGGCACAGCCCCCTCCAGCTCTCACAGCGGCACGCCACAGCCCCCCCCAGGGCACAGCCCCCACCCCTCGGCTGTCACAGCGGCCACGCCACAGCCCCCCACCCCTCGGCTGTCACAGCGGCCACGCCACAGCCCCCCCCCCGAGGGCACAGCCCCCCTCCCTCGGCTGTCACAACGGCCACGCCACAGCCCCCCCGGCTGTCACAGCGGCCACGCCACAGCCCCCCCCCGAGGGCACAGCCCGCCCCCGGCTGTCACAGCGGCCACGCCACAGCCCTCCCCCCCGGCTGTCACAGCGGCCACGCCACAGCCCTCCCCCCCGGCTGTCACAGCGGCCACGCCACAGCCCCCCCCGGCTGTCACAGCGGCCACGCCACAGCCCCCCCCCGAAGGCACAGCCCCCCCCCGGCTGTCACAACGGCCACGCCACAGCCCCCCCCCGAGGGCACAGCCCCCTCCCTCGGCTGTCACAACGGCCACGCCACAGCCCCCCCCAGGCACAGCCCCCCCGGCTGTCACAACGGCCACGCCACAGCCCCCCCCCGAGGGCACAGCCCCCCTCCCTCGGCTGTCACAACGGCCACGCCACAGCCCCCCCCCCCCGAGGGCACAGCCCCCCTCCCTCGGCTGTCACAACGGCCACGCCACAGCCCCCCCCCCCGAGGGCACAGCCCCCCTCCCTCGGCTGTCACAACGGCCACGCCCTGAGGGCACAGCCCCCTCCAGCTCTCACAGCGGCTACGCCACAGCCCCCCCCCCGACGGCACAGCCCCCCTCCCTCGGCTGTCACAACGGCCACGCCACAGCCCCCCCCCCCCGAGGGCACAGCCCCCCTCCCTCAGCTGTCACAACGGCCACGCCACAGCCCCCCCCCCCCGAGGGCACAGCCCCCCCCCGGCTGTCACAGCGTCCACGCCACAGCCTCCCCCCGCCCCGGCTGTCACAGCAGCCATGCCACAACCCCCCCGAGGGCACAGCCCCCTTCCTCGGCTGTCACAGCAGCCATGCCACAACCCCCCCCGAGGGCACAGCCCCCCTTCCTCGGCTGTCACAACGGCCACGCCACAGCCCCCCCCCCGAGGGCACAGCCCCCTCCCTCGGCTGTCACAACGGCCACGCCACAGCCCCCCCCGAGGGCACAGCCCCCCCCCCGGCTGTCACAGCGTCCACGCCACAGCCCCCCCCCGGCTGTCACAGCAGCCATGCCACAACCCCCCCGAGGGCACAGCCCCCTCCTTGGCTGTCCAACGGCCACGCCACAGCCCCCCCGAGGGCACAGCCCCCCCCCGGCTGTCAGAGCGGCCACGCCACAGCCCCCCCCCCGGCTGTCAGAGCGGCCACGCCACAGCCCCCCCCCGGCTGTCAGAGCGGCCACGCCACAGCCCCCCCCCGGCTGTCAGAGCGGCCACGCCACAGCCCCCCCCCCCGGCTGTCAGAGCGGCCACGCCACAGCCCCCCCCCGGCTGTCAGAGCGGCCACGCCACAGCCCCCCCCCCGGCTGTCAGAGCGGCCACGCCACAGCCCCCCCCGGCTGTCACAGCGTCCACGCCACAGCCCCCCCCGGCTGTCACAGCGTCCACGCCACAGCCCCCCCCCCCGGCTGTCACAGCAGCCACGCCACAGCCCCCCCCGAGGGCACAGCCCCCTTCCTCGGCTGTCACAACGGCCACGCCACAGCCCCCCCCGAGGGCACAGCCCCCTCCCTCGGCTGTTACAACGGCCACGCCACAGCCCCCCCCCCGAGGGCACAGCCCCCCTCCCTCGGCTGTCACAACGGCCACGCCCTGAGGGCACAGCCCCCTCCAGCTCTCACAGCGGCTACGCCACAACCCCCCCCCCAGGGCACAGCCCCCCCCCTCGGCTGTCACAGCGGCCACGCCACAGCCCCCCACCCCTCGGCTGTCACAGCGGCCATGCCACAACCCCCCCCCCGAGGGCACAGCCCTCCTCCCTCGGCTGTCACAACGGCCACGCCACAGCCCCCCCCGAGGGCACAGCCCCCCTCCCTCGGCTGTCACAACGGCCACGCCACAGCCCCCCCCCCGAGGGCACAGCCCCCTCCCTCGGCTGTCACAACGGCCACGCCACAGCCCCCCCCCCCGAGGGCACAGCCCCCCTCCCTCGGCTGTCACAACGGCCACGCCACAGCCCCCCCCCGAGGGCACAGCCCCCCTCCCTCGGCTGTCACAACGGCCACGCCCTGAGGGCACAGCCCCCTCCAGCTCTCACAGCGGCTACGCCACAGCCCCCCCCCGACGGCACAGCCCCCCTCCCTCGGCTGTCACAACGGCCACGCCACAGCCCCCCCCCGAGGGCACAGCCCCCCTCCCTCAGCTGTCACAACGGCCACGCCACAGCCCCCCCGAGGACAGCCCCCGGCTGTCACAGCGTCCACGCCACAGCCTCCCCCCCCCGGCTGTCACAGCAGCCATGCACAACCCCGAGGGCACAGCCCCCTTCCTCGGCTGTCACAGCAGCCATGCCACAACCCCCCCCCAGAGGGCACAGCCCCCCCTTCCTCGGCTGTCACAACGGCCACGCCACAGCCCCCCCCGAGGGCACAGCCCCCCTCCCTCGGCTGTCACAACGGCCACGCCACAGCCCCCCGAGGGCACAGCCCCCCCCCCCGGCTGTCACAGCGTCCACGCCACAGCCCCCCCGGCTGTCACAGCAGCCATGCCACAACCTCCCCCCGAGGGCACAGCCCCCCTTCCTTGGCTGTCACAACGGCCACGCCACAGCCCCCCCCCCGAGGGCACAGCCCCCCCCCGGCTGTCAGAGCGGCCACGCCACAGCCCCCCCCGGGTCAGGGCCACGCCGCCCCCCCCGGCTGCAGAGGTCCACCACAGCCCCCCGGCTGTCAGCCCAGCCACCCCCCCGGCTGTCAGGCCACGCACAGCCCCCGGCTTCAGAGGCCACGCCACAGCCCCCCGGCTGTCAGGCGGCCACGCCACAGCCCCCCGGCTGTCAGAGCGCCACGCCACAGCCCCCCCCCCGGCTGTCACAGCGTCCACGCCACAGCCCCCCCCCGGCTGTCACAGCAGCCACGCCACCACCCCCCCCGAGGGCACAGCCCCCTTCCTCGGCTGTCACAACGGCCACGCCACAGCCCCCCCCGAGGGCACAGCCCCCCTCCCTCGGCTGTTACAACGGCCACGCCACAGCCCCCCCCCCGAGGGCACAGCCCCCTCCCTCGGCTGTCACAACGGCCACGCCTGAGGGCACAGCCCCTCCAGCTCTCACAGCGGCTACGCCACAACCCCCCCCAGGGCACAGCCCCCTCGGCTGTCACAGGGCAGCCACAGCCCCCACCCTCGGCTGTACAGCGGCCATGCCACAACCCCCGAGGGCACAGCCCTCCTCCTCGGCTGTCACAACGGCCACGCCACAGCCCCCCCCGAGGGCACAGCCCCCCTCCCTCGGCTGTCACAACGGCCACGCCACAGCCCCCCCCCCCCCCGAGGGCACAGCCCCCCTCTCTCGGCTGTCACAGCGGCCACGCCACAGCCCCGCCCCGAGGGCACAGCCCCCTCCAGCTCTCACAGCGGCCACACCACAGCCCCCCCCGAGGGCACAGCCCCCCCCTCGGCTGTCACAGCGGCCACGCCACAGCCCTGCCCCGAGGGCACAGCCCCCCTGCCCTCCGGCTGTCACAGCGGCCAGGTCCCAGCCCCCCCCCCCCTCAGCTGTCACAGCGGCCACACCACAGCCCCCCCCCTCCGGCTCTCACAGCGGTCACGCCACAGACCTGCAGCCCCTCCTAGCCATGTGGCCCCCACTGAGGGCTACCTGTAGCTTAGCTGCAGTGAGTGATGGTACCACATAGGGCGGGAGAGAGCTCCTGGAGGAAATTATGGTTTTTAAAAAAAAAAAAAACAACCAAAAAAACATGGCCCCAGACAGCCACCCCCTGTGACTTGGTGTTGACCAAATGGGAGGAGGCTACATAGGGAATGCACAGGCTTGTACAGAATCTCTCCATCCAGGGCCACAACATGTTTTACAGTGTTGGGGTGATGTCATTATCTCTGTCTTAAAGCTGGAGGAAACTGAGGTATAGAGGGAAAGTGGCTTTCTCAATATCACCGAACAAGTCAGTGGCACAATTAGGCCAATTCTCTGGTATGAAGGTTTGTTGGTTAGGGATGTAAAAAACCGCACACAGCCCACTTAGCTGTGCTGGCAAAACTCCAGTATCAATGCAGATACAGTGTATGCCAACAGAAGAGTGCTCCTGTCAGCACGGTTAACATCACTCAAAGAAAAGGGGTACTTGTGGCACCTTGGAGACTAACAAATTCAAAAACCAGCCGGAGAACACTTCAATCTCTTTGGTCACTCGATTACAGACCTAAAAGTGGCAATTCTTCAGCAAAAAAACTTCAAAAACAGACTCCAACAAGAGACTGCTGAATTGGAATTAATTTGCAAACTGCATACAATTAACTTAGACTTGAATAGAGACTGGGAGTGGATGGGTCATTACACAAAGTAAAACTATTTCCCCAAGTTTATTCCTCCTCCCCCCCCACACTGTTCCTCACATGTTCTTGTCAACTGCTGGAAATGGCCTACCTTGATTATCACTACAAAAGGTTCTCTCCTCCCACCCCCGCTGCTCTCCTGCTGGTAATAGCTCACCTTACTTGATCACTCTCGTTACAGTGTGCATGGTAACACCCATTGTTTCATGTTCTCTGTGTATATAAATCTCCCCACTGTATTTTCCACTGAATGCATCCGATGAAGTGAGCTGTAGGTCACGAAAGCTTATGCTCAAATAAATTGGTTAGTCTCTAAGGTGCCACAAGTACTCCTTTTCTTTTTGTGGATACAGACTAACACGGCTGCTACTCTGAAGCCTGTCATCACTCAAAGAGGTGTTGGGTTGTGCTGACAGAAAAATTCCTGGTGGCATATGTAGCATCTGCGTTAGGGGGTCTGCTGGTATAGTTACCTTGGCAAAACATTTGTAGTGTAGAGACGGTCTCAGGAGCAGAATCGAGGTCTCTTGACTCCTTTAGACACAAGACTATGTTCCCTCCACACAGTCTAATTACAAAATTCAAGTGTGTGCATGTTGTTACTTTCTGTAAAATTAAATAGCGTCAAAGATCAACTCTTGAAGGGGCCATTTTGTTTTCTAGGATCAAACTACTGCAGAACGGGGTCCTATTGGGTAGGCAAAGTGTTTCCAGCACTTGGACTTCCTTTGGTTCAACCATGATTCACAGCCTCTTCCTGATTAACTCCTCAGGGGATATTTTTCTGGAGAAGCACTGGAAAAGTGTTGTCAGCCGCTCTGTTTGTGACTACTTTTTTGAAGCACAGGAGAGGGCTACAGAGGCAGAAAATGTACCTCCTGTGATCCCCACACCTCATCACTACCTCCTGAATGTATATCGTCATAAGATTTTTTTCGTGGCAGTGATTCAGACAGAAGTGCCGCCCCTATTTGTCATTGAATTCTTACATCGGGTTGTGGACACTTTCCAGGTGAGAAAAGCAGGATATTTTGTCATTATGTTTCGTATTTATCTATCATTGGTGCATACACCGTCTTATAATAATAGCAAAGATCGTTCTACAGCAATACTCTGTTTTTCAGCAGGAACTGCCATAATGAGCTTTTTCGCAGCAGTGTCCTTTCTCTGCATGACATGCTGTGCTTCGCTGGTGTAGACCAACAAAAGTGGATTTATAAATTAGGTCTCTAGCATTTAGTTGTTTAATGTGCTCAACTACAATTCCTTGAATTCATGTACACAATTTAACACAACAGATCTTTTTTGTTTCAGCAAGAACTCAGGCAAAGGCAAAGCTCTTTCAGTGCAGTTGCACCCCACTTCATGCGCTTGCCAAGTCAAAAGACTGTAAGAAGAGATGGGTTTCACACAATGGCCTAAAAATCAACAAGCTTGATCTCTTTCAAGTCCAAAGCCTGCCTCTGAGAACGTCCTGTCACCTGACATGTAGAACTGGGGACTGTTAGCTCAAACACACTAGCTGATATCAACTTTGGAGATTCACAGCAGAGCATGGATGATGCTTCACCTAGTCAGTCCTCAGCCATTTCCTGCTTAATACAGTAAATCAAAGTGAACTTGAATTGTACCTGCAAACAAATAGACATTTAAGATCATATAAAACAAATTTCCAAAATAACCCTAACATGATAATTAACAACTCTGGGGTTTGCAGGGTCTTCTGCAGGGTGGGAAAGGGTATTAGATAGTGCTGAGAGTTAACTCAGTAGCCTTTCACCTTTGCAGATCTAGGACTTAAATCCTGCCTTGGATCCTAAAGGAGCTGACTTTGTCAGTTTCTTTGTAACTGAATATTTTTTCTTTTTCACCAGGACATTCTATTTTATCGATTATAGTGGCAGTGAAGTAATGAGTATGGAGGACTGAAACATACAAAAGTTCTGAAAGATTGTGATATTATGGTTATATTTAATTTTTTTTTTTAAAAAGCAAAAGGGAGAAAAAAAGGAACTCTGTTAAGTTACCAGTAATTTGCTTCCTCTTTTGTCTGTGTCCCATAATTGTCACTGTGCTCGTGAGAAGACCAGGACTGGATCAGCAGCGAGGTGATTCCCAGTCAAGATGCAGTTGCACTCATAACTAGAAAAACAAGACATCAGGATCAACTTATATTTGCAAGGGTTATGGCATTGTATGGGCTGTAACCAGTACCATACATTTATCCCAAAGTGGAGCTGCTTCCTGTGGGATTTTTTTGAATCTAATTTTGTTCTGATTGGACTTTTCTCCCTCAGAAGGAATTTGGACGACTAACTGTATTTCTTTCAGATAATTGAGTGTTATCTTTGGATTTGGTTTCTCTGAGTTTCCTGTACTGAATTTAAAGTACAAATCTTGTTTCACAGAAAGATGAGTCATGTTAGAGTTGCCTCAGAGAGTTGTTAATATTCAGAGTACAGTAGTAGTGGGATCCTCAGGCAATCTGGGGAAGGAAGGCAGACATCATGTTCTGCCTGCAAAGCTCTGAATCCTGTGGTCAGGATTTGAGGTGTCCCATGACCAGAGTTACAGCAGCAGAGAGAAAATAGGAGCCTTTAGTCAGACTTCTTTATCATGTATGTTTTGCTTCTGAGCACTATAGTCAGACACGTGAATTCAGACTTGGGAGGTGTGGGTGAGGAATGGGAATAGAAATTAGGTAGATTCAGGGATCAGACTGGTAGGTGGAGCATGAAACTTGATGGTACTCTTCCAAGCCTTTCCCAGAGGAGATAAATTGGAGAGGGCTTGGAGAAGAGCCATGAGAAAGATTAAAAGATAAGAAAATATGTCTTATATTTAGGGTGACCAGATGTCCCTTTTTTATAGGGACAGTCCCATTTTTGGGACTTTTTTCTTATATAGGCGCCTATTACCCCTCACCCCATCCCGTTTTTTCACAGTTGCTATATGGTCACCCTACTTATAATAATGATAGAGTCAGAGAGCTCAGTCTACTTAGGTTAACAAAGAAAAGATTACGGATGACTTGATTACAGTTTATAAGTATTTTCCTGGGGAACAAATATTAGATAATAGGCTCTTTAGTCTATCGGAGAAAGGTACAATATAATCCAATGGCTGGAAATTGAAGCTAGACAAATTCAGACTGGAAATAAGGTGTACATTTTTAACAGCGTAATTCACCATTGGAACAATTTACCAAGGATAGTGGTGGATTCTCCCTCACTGACCATTTTTAAATCAAGATTTGATGTTTATCTAAAAGATCTGCTATGGGAATTATTTTGGGGAAGTTCTATGGCCTGTGTTGTGCAGGAGGTCAGACTACTTGATCATGGCCGTCCCTTCTGGCCTTGGAGTCTATGAGTTGCTATTTACAGTAGATTGTGCAGGTTATTCAGAATATGATTGCTCATGCTTGTTGGGCTTGTGCTTGGCTTCCCCTCAGACAGAGAATGCACCCATGGGTTCTGCTAGGTTCTTCATGTTTGGCTTCCCATTCATGAGGCTCATGTGCCTCAGGAGGCTGCTTGAGCTTGGCTGTCTTCTGGGGGCTCTGCTAGGGATCTCTCTTCTTTGGACTTGGCTCCTTCTTGGTTGTGGGGGCTGGAGAGAAGTGGCAGTATTGTTCAAGCTTGCTCACAGCAGTGCCAAAATGAGCAGTCACTCTCAGTACATTATTCAGATGGTCATGCTATGATTCTCTCTCCCCTCCCCCCCCCTTCTTCCTTACAGGCTTTGATGAGCAGTGAAATAGTTAATATTTCAAGTATCAAAGTTATCATTGGCTGTCTGAGTTATTGCCTATTCAGATGAATGAGGCAGTTCACACATCTCAAGGGTACCTCAGTCTACACAGCCTGCAGCGGCACCGTCCAACCCAGGTTGAGAGACTTGCACTGGACTTGTACTGCCTACTAAAAATAGCTGTGTTGACAGCACATTGAGGCTGGGCTGTGAAGACCACTACCCTCCCTAAGCTTCAGAGCCCAAGCTCCAGCCTGAGCTACAATGCCTACAACACCTGTTTTTAGCACAGTAGTGCAAGCCCCTGTCTGACAACCTGGGTTGGGAGGCTGGCTGACACAGATTGTGTAAGCATGTTCAGGGCTATTGCACTAGTTACTCAGATTGCATTTTCAAGACTGTCTCAACAACCATAGGTTTCAGAGGAACAGCCGTGTCAGTCTGTATTCGCAAAAAGAAAAGGAGTACTTGTGGCACCTTAGAGACTAACCAATTTATTTGAGCATGAGCTTTCGTGAGCTACAGCTCACTTCATCAGATGTATACCGTGGAAACTGCAGCAGACTTTATATACACACAGAGAATATGAAACAATACCTCCTCCCACCCCACTGTCCTGCTGGTAATAGCTTATCTAAAGTGATCAACAGGTGGGCCATTTCCAGCACAAATCCAGGTTTTCTCACCCTCCACCCCCCCACACAAATTCACTCTCCTGCTGGTGCTAGCCCATCCAAAGTGACAACTCTTTACATAATCAAGTCGGGCTATTTCCTGCATAAATCCAGGTTTTCTCACATCCCCCCCACCCCCATACACACACAAACTCACTCTCCTCCTGGTAATAGCTCATCTAAACTGACCACTCTCCAAGTTTAAATCCAAGTTAAACCAGAACATCGGGGGGGGGGGGTAGGAAAAAACAAGAGGAAACAGGCTACCTTGCATAATGACTTAGCCACTCCCAGTCTCTATTTAAGCCTAAATTAATAGTATCCAATTTGCAAATGAATTCCAATTCAGCAGTTTCTCGCTGGAGTCTGGATTTGAAGTTTTTTTGTTTTAAGATAGCGACCTTCATGTCTGTGATTGCGTGACCAGAGAGATTGAAGTGTTCTCCGACTGGTTTATGAATGTGATAATTCTTGACATCTGATTTGTGTCCATTTATTCTTTTACGTAGAGACTGTCCAGTTTGACCAATGTACATGGCAGAGGGGCATTGCTGGCACATGATGGCATATATCACATTGGTGGATGTGCAGGTGAACGAGCCTCTGATAGTGTGGCTGATGTTATTAGGCCCTGTGATGGTGTCCCCTGAATAGATATGTGGGCACAATTGGCAACGGGCTTTGTTGCAAGGATAAGTTCCTGGGTTAGTGGTTCTGTTGTGTGGTATGTGGTTGTTGGTGAGTATTTGCTTCAGGTTGCGGGGCTGTCTGTAGGCAAGGACTGGCCTGTCTCCCAAGACTTGTGAGAGTGTTGGGTCATCCTTTAGGATAGGTTGTAGATCCTTAATAATGCGTTGGAGGGGTTTTAGTTGGGGGCTGAAGGTGACGGCTAGTGGCGTTCTGTTATTTTCTTTGTTAGGCCTGTCCTGTAGTAGGTAACTTCTGGGAACTCTTCTGGCTCTATCAATCTGTTTCTTTACTTCTGCAGGTGGGTATTGTAGTTGTAAGAAAGCTTGACAGAGATCTTGTAGGTGTTTGTCTCTGTCTGAGGGGTTGGAGCAAATGCGGTTGTATCGCAGAGCTTGGCTGTAGACGATGGATCGTGTGGTGTGGTCAGGGTGAAAGCTGGAGGCATGCAGGTAGGAATAGCGGTCAGTAGGTTTCCGGTATAGGAGAGTGAATTTGTGTGGGGGGGTGGAGGGTGAGAAAACCTGGATTTGTGCTGGAAATGGCCCACCTGTTGATCACTTTAGATAAGCTATTACCAGCAGGACAGTGGGGTGGGAGGAGGTATTGTTTCATATTCTCTGTGTGTATATAAAGTCTGCTGCAGTTTCCACAGTATACATCTGATAAAGTGAGCTGTAGCTCACGAAAGCTCATGCTCAAATAAATTGGTTAGTCTCTAAGGTGCCACAAGTACTCCTTTTCTTTCAACAACCATAGTAGCTGGACACTGAATTTTTTTTTTAAGTGAAAACTTAGAATCTGGAGAATGAGAAAAGAACAAGAGAGAGGTGCAGATGCACTTCACTGCATACTAGCTGTATAAGAGCCCTGGATAGACACACACACCACCAGGGCAAATATATTGTCACAATATTTTCACATTTTGTAGTACCTTTCATTACAAAGTATCCCAGAGTGCTTCACAAACTTCACAGATGATAATACTTGTCATTTGCATCATCCTTTTGTGTTTAAAGCATTGCCAGTGTATAGATAAAATAAATATGCATGAGCATGTATAATGGCTTAACCCCTACTGATATGCAACCGTCTCTTGGATGGCACATGTTAGCTGCTTAACACCACACAGGTACTATGTGACAGTTGAGGATAGGAAAAGAAGAATCATCTCTTCAGTTGATATTTGTGGGTGGGGTAGAATTAGGTAGGCAGGATGTAGTTACACACATCAGAATTTGGGCAAAATAGCTTAGTAACACTCTTGCTTTTATGTAAAATGCACTGGATTTCTAATAAGCACGCATGATCAGGAGCTTGGTTTTACTGAAAGATGACTTCTTAAACCACGCACAGCCCCTAGCATCAAGCTGTGGCATTGATTTAGTGCTGAATGAAAGGGAACTGCTAAATCACCAACACTACTTCCTTGTTGGAGATCTCCCATCCCAGTTGCTAAACTGGTAAGATTTGATAGGCTTACAGCCTGATTTGTTATGCTCTGACCAGAAATTGTAATACTGTTAAATACGTGTGTGGGTGGGAAGTGAGAAACAGTGAAGGAAGCATAGCCAAGCTGTACCAACTGTCACTGAGAGTCCGAGAGACTGAAGCAGATGCTGAGCTGGGAATCTTCTATTATTCATGCTACAGGTTTCTCCTTTTACCCACTTCTCAAGATTTTGCGCTGGGTTTCTGCCCTTCAAAAGGAGAGAATTGCTTCTCAGGCTTTTCAACAGATTGTGGAATACCAGACTTTTGCTCTCAGGACCTAATGTTAGCAGACCATTCAAGTTACCTTGGGTTTTGTTGGCAGTATATAAGAATCGGAAAGGGCATTGGGGTGAAAAGACTGAGAGTAATGTGGGAGGGAGGCACTTTAGAAATGTCAGTTGGTGAATGCGTTTCCCTGTAAAACACGACCAGGTAGAGACAAACAGCATCAAAATCAGCTTGCTGTAGTTTTCCAGCTCTCCACTAGCCTTCCCCCATACTAGAGACGTTGTATAAATAACTTACAACTTTCTTTAAAAACTGAAGTGACTTACACCAGTATAATAATACTGTATGTGTTTTGCAGTGTGAGTAACAAAACTAAGTGGAATAGCTGTGCATCAAGAGGGGATTATTCCCCACAAGCAGTGGGACTGCAGAGTCCTGCACGTGAAGATTAGGATGTTTGAGAAAAGCAGCATATCTAAGACCTAGTCTGCACTAAAAAGTTAGGTCAACCTAGCTATGTCGCTTAAGTGTGTGAAAAATCCACACTCCTGAGTGCCGTAGTTAATCTGACTTGACTCCCGGTGTAGACAGTGCTGGGTCAACAAAATAATTCTTCCATCGACCTAGCTACTGCCTCTGGAGAAGGTGGATTATGTACAGTGATAGGAGAACCCCTCCTGTTGGTGTAGGTAGTGTCTATACTGAAGAATAAAGTGGCACAACTGCAGTGGCGCTGCTGTAGCATTTCAAGTGAAGACAAGCTCTAATACTTGGCTAATTATCAGACCCATTGGTCTCTCACTTTTAGCAGCATTAAAATTCACAGCTGTTCTTGTGAATATGCTTAGTGGGGAAGCTGGGTAATTGTGTCTGTTTCATACAGGATTATTTTGGTGTCTGCTCGGAGGTAGTGATCAAGGACAATGTTGTGGTGGTTTATGAGGTGCTGGAGGAGATGCTGGACAATGGATTCCCATTGGCTACTGAGTCCAATATCCTGAAGGAGCTGATAAAACCCCCCACCATTTTGCGAACTGTTGTCAATACCATTACAGGTATAGGGGAGTGAGGGGTGGGTAAGGGGTTGAGTCATTGTGATGATCCTTCTACTGAAGTGATTCCAAATGCTGGGGAGGGAGGAGGAGAAGTTGATAGTCTGACCAAATCCTCCTAACCTCTAGCGTAGCTGTTGCTGTAAGGGAGCCCATGTTAGCATATTGGCATTGGGGCAGTCCAGTTTCTAACATTAGACATAGGATCTCCTTTTACCAAAAAAGTCATCTGCCCACAATGGATTGTCCAGCACTCTAGTCGGATCCATGAAATGACTTTATGGCCAGGGTTGGTTTCCTAAGTGGACTGTTCCTCCCCCTTTCAAATGAGGGGTTAGTGGGAGGGGTGGCAGGAGAGGTAACGCTTGGTGAATTCATACTATGAGTCATTGGAGAGTGACTTTACTGGAGTGACTGTGCTCTTCTATAATGAGAGGGAGGACTTCAGGAACAAATCAATGTTCTATATGGGTGAGGTCAGGGGCTTTTTCTGGGGCTTTGCTAGCTGCTTCTGTTCATCCTGATCTCCTTAACTCTTCCAGGAAGCACTAATGTAGGTGACCAGCTCCCTACTGGACAGCTATCAGTGGTGCCATGGCGACGGACCGGTGTGAAATACACCAATAATGAGGCATATTTTGATGTGATTGAGGAGATAGATGCAATCATTGACAAATCAGGTATGAGCGTTCCTTCCAGTTAAGGCTGAGATATCCTTCTCTGGGAGTGCCTAGAGGGAGAGGATGTGTATTTTTCTTAGAGGAGGGAGGAGTGTTGGAAGCTTTTGGAAACTGTTCTCATTCTGACCTTTTGACAGCTCAGATGTGCTGTTTAGTCTTACATTTCTGTAAAGTGTCAGTGGATTCAAGCTGTAAGACCTGAATAGGGTTTGAATAGGCTGTGTTGCAGTCTTCCCCACTTGTCCAGGATGAATTTCAATCAGGTCCACAGTTGCCTTCCATAACCTGTTTTGTTTTACTTCCTGTTATAGGTTCCACAATTACAGCTGAAATCCAAGGCGTGATTGATGCCTGTGTTAAATTGACTGGGATGCCAGACCTCACCCTCTCTTTCATGGTAAAGTTCAAGAAAAGGGGTGATAGGTCCTCTTGATACTGTATAGAAGAAGTGCAGTATTCTTTAATCAAATAGCCTTCACTGGGATCCTAGGTGCCACCAGCTGGTAGGGTGCAGGTCTAGCTATGACAGATTCCAGGTATTCCAAGTAGAAAAAGGAAGAAGGAATGCATATAATGAAAAATCTCTATAAACATCTACAGTTTTGAGTGTAGGGGTGGTGGTTGTTAGAAGTAACCGACAGCAGTGTGTGGACTTACTAACCTCTAAGATGTAGCACTGCCTAAGGCAGCTTTCTCCCAGGGCTCATCTGTAAGGAGTTCACATCAGGATAGTTGTTTGACATCACTAAGTAGATAGGCTTCTTATACACTAGGATAGAATTACCACGATAGGTACTCCTATTACACAAATATTAAACAGCTTAACACAGCTACAGAACAGAATGGGAGACACAGTTGCCAACTTTCATGCAGTAAATAAGCACCCCGACTTTCACAATAAGCCAAAAATCAAGCTAATCCCATTTCAAAACAAGGCCAAAACAAGCCCTAAGAACCCCAACGCTCTATGTGACTAGATCCCCCCCGGCATGCAGTCTCTGACTATGGTGGGCCCGCTGTGCACCCCTGACTCTCTCCCCCCCTTGCCCCTGGTTGCCGGGAGCCGATCAAAAAAAAACAAGCAACACGTCAAAAACTAGCCAACAAGCAACTCACAAGCCAATTAAGCCAAAACCACATCCAATTTCTGTGTTTTTTTTTTCATGGGTTTGGCATGTCTGATGGGAGACTGTATTGTGTGCCACATGGCAGGTGCTTGAGGTGAGACACGGGAAAGGAGCTAGAGGAAAGAGCATGGACAGATTCCTTTTCACAAATTTTGTTGGTTTCTTGGACTTCTTGACTCAGTCTTATTTCAGAATCCCCGGTTACTGGATGATGTCAGCTTCCATCCATGTGTGCGATTCAAGCGCTGGGAATCAGAGCGGATCCTCTCTTTCATCCCACCAGATGGAAATTTCCGATTGCTCTCCTATCATGTCAGTGCTCAGAAGTAAGTAGGGAATTTAGAACTGAGGGTTTTCAAAATCTGGACTATTGTCCCTTCCTGCTCATTGCTCTAGAAAAGGATCACTTGCTTCCTTTGCTGAGTGAGAAACTGGGAAAACTAGTGCTATTTTTAAAATTTAAACTCTGTACTCTTTGAGGCAATAACCTTGCAATTTCAGTTCAGTTCTGCAAGCCAACTCAGTTCACATCCCAGTGGCGGGTGTGTAATCTACAGTTGGGACAAAGTAGGCCGTAGTGTCTGCTGTCTATTTTAGTTCATTACACTAACAAGGCTCCTTAAAATAAAGTAAAATAATTGCATAATGCAATGATGTTGGTGTCTGTTTTAATGTAGACACTGAAGCCATTTATTAGACTTGGTTGAGCAAAGTGCACCTTGAAATCTGCACAGTATAAAAAAGAGCAGAAATGATAGTTTCAGGCCGCAAACACATAGAATCATAGAATATCAGGGTTGGAAGGGACCTCAGGAGGTCATCTAGTCCAACCCCTTGCTCAAAGCAGGACCGATCCCCAATTAAATCATCCCAGCTAGGGCTTTGTCAAGCCTGACCTTAAAAACTTCTAAGGAAGGAGATTCCACCACCTCCCTAGGTAACGCATTCCAGTGTTTCACCACCCTCCTAGTGAAAAAGTTTTTCCTAATATCCAACCTAAATCTCCCCCACTGCAACTTGAGACCATTACTCCTTGTCCTGTCATCTGTTATCACTGAGAATAGTCTAGATCCATCCTCTTTGGATCCACCTTTCAGGTAGTTAAAAGCAGCTATCAAATCCCCCCTCATTCTCCTCTTCCGTAGACTAAACAATCCCAGTTCCCTCAGCCTCTCCTCATAAGTCATGTGTTCCAGACCCCTAATCATTTTTGTTGCCCTTCGCTGGACTCTCTCCAATTTTTCCACATCCTTCTTGTAGTGTGGGGTCCAAAACTGGACACTGTACTCCAGATGACGCCTCACCAATGTCGAATAGAGGGGAGCGATCATGTCCCTCAATCTGCTGGCAATGCCCCTACTTATACATCCCAAAATGCCATTGGCCTTCTTGGCAACAAGGGCACACTGTTGACTCATATCCAGCTTCTCATCCACTGTAACCCCTAGGTCCTTCTCTGCAGAACTGCTGCCTAGCCATTTGGTCCCTAGTCTGTAGCGGTGCATTGGATTCTTCTGTCCTAAGTGCAGGACTCTGCAGTTGTCCTTATTGAACCTCATCAGATTTCTTTTGGCCCAATCCTCTAATTTGTCTAGGGCTCTCTGTATCCTATCCCTACCCTCCAGCGTATCTACCACTCCTCCCAGTTTAGTGTCATCCGCAAACTTGCTGAGGGTGCAATCCACACCATCCTCCAGATCATTTATGAAGATATTGAACAAAACCGGCCCCAGGACCGACCCTTGGGACACTCCGCTAGATACTGGCTGCCAACTAGACATGGAGCCATTGATCGCTACCCGTTGAGCCCGACAATCTAGCCAACTTTCTACCCACCTTATAGTGCATTCATCCAGCCCATCCTTCTTTAACTTGCTGACAAGAATACTGTGGGAGACCGTGTCAAAAGCTTTGCTAAAGTCAAGGAACAACGCGTACACCGCTTTCCCCTCATCCACAGAGCCAGGTATCTCGTCGTAGAAGGCAATTAGATTAGTCAGGCATGACTTGCCCTTGGTGAATCCATGCTGACTGTTCCTGATCACTTTCCTCTCCTCTAAGTGCTTCAGAATTGATTCCTTGAGGACCTGCTCCATGATTTTTCCAAGGACTGAGGTGAGCTGACTGGCCTGTAGTTCCCAGGATCCTCCTCCTTCCCTTTTTTAAAGATGGGCACTACATTAGCCTTTTTCCAGTTGTCCAGGACTTCCCCTGATCGCCATGAGTTTTCAAAGATAATGGACAATGGCTCCGCAATCACATCCGCCAACTCCTTTAGCACTCTCGGATGCAATGCATCCGGCCCCAGAGACTTGTGCACGTCCAACTTTTCTAAATAGTCCCGAATCGCTTCTTTCTCCACAAAGGGCTGGTACCTCCTCCCCATGTTGTGCTGCCCAGTGCAGTAGTCTGGGAGCTGACCTTGTTCGTGAAGACAGAGGCAAAAAAAGTATTGAGTACATAAGCTTTTTCCACATCCTCTGTCACTAGGTTGCCTCCCTCATTCAGTAAGGGGCCCACACTTTCCTTGACTTTCTTCTTGTTGCTAACATATCTGAAGAAACCCTTCTTGTTACTCTTAACATCTCTTGCTAGCTGCAACTCCAGGTGTGATTTAGCCTTCCTGATTTCATTCCTACATGCCCAAGCAATATTTATATACTCATCCCTGGTCATTTGTCCAATCTTCCACTTCTTTTAAGCTTCTTTTTTGTGTTTAAGATCAGCAAGGATTTCACTGTTAAGCCAAGCTGGTCGCCTGCCATATTTACTATTCTTTCTACACATTGGGATGGTTTGTCCCTGTAACCTCAATAAGGATTCTTTAAAATAAAGCCAGCTCTCCTGGACTCCTTTCCCCCTCATGTTATTGTCCCAGGGGATCTTGCCCATCAGTTTCCTGAGGGAGTCAGTGTCTGCTTTTCTGAAGTCCAGGGTCCATATTCTGCTGCTCTCCTTTCCTCCTTGTGTCAGGATCCTGAACTCGACCATCTCATGGTCACTGCCTCCCAGGTTCCCATCCACTTTAGCTTCCCCTACTAATTCTTCCTGATTTGTGAGCAGCAGGTCAAGAAGAGCTCTGCCCCTAGTTGGTTCCTCCAGCACTTGCACCAGGAAATTGTCCCCTACCCTTTCCAAAAACTTCTTGGATTGTCTGTGCACTGCTGTATTGCTCTCCCAGCAGATATCAGGGTGATTGAAGTCTCCCATGAGAACCAGGGCGTGTGATCTAGTAGCTTCTGCGAGTTGCCGGAAGAAAGCCTCATCCCCCTGGTCCGGTGGTCTATAGCAGACTCCCACCACGACATCACCCTTGTTGCTCACACTTCTAAACTTAATCCAGAGACTCTCAGGTTTTTCTGCAGTTTCATACTGGAGTTCTGAGCAGTCATACTGCTCTCTTACATACAGTGCAACTCCCCCACCTTTTCTGCCCTGCCTGTCCTTCCTGAACAGCTTATATCCATCCATGACAGTACTCCAGTCATGTGAGTTATCCCACCAAGTCTCTGTTATTCCAATCACATCATAATTCCTTGACTGTGCCAGGACTTCCAGTTCTCCCTGCTTGTTTCCCAGGCTTTGTGCATTTGTGTATAGGCACTTGAGATAACCCGCTGATCGCCCCTCTTTCTCAGTATGAGGCAGGAGCCCTCCCCTCTCACACGCTCCTGCTCGTGCTTCCTCCTGGTATCCCACTTACCTCAGGGCTTTGGTCTCCTTCCCCCGGTGAACCCATTTTAAAGCCCTCCTCACTAGGTTAGCCAGCCTGCTTGCGAAGATGCTCTTCCCTCTCTTTGTTAGGTGGAGCCCGTCTCTGCCTAGCACTCCTCCTTCTTGGAACACCATCCCATGGTCAAAGAATCCAAAGCCTTCTCTCCGACACCACCTGCGTAGCCATTCGTTGACTTCCACGATTCGACGGTCTCTACCCTGGCCTTTTCCTTCCACGGGGAGGATGGACGAGAACACCACTTGCGCTTCAGACTCCTTTATCCTTCTTCCCAGAGCTGCGTAGTCTGCAGTGATCCGCTCAAGGTCATTCTTGGCAGTATCATTGGTGCCCACACTTACACAGTCCAAGGCAGTGCTGCTGCCTTTGCTTAGAGCAACTTGCCGACATGGTTCCGTTTTGCAAGAAAATCCAGCATCCTTTACTCAACCCCCAAAGCATGTTCCAAACAATAATTAATGCTTGACACACCTGCAATGTGAGGAAGTGGAAAACTGTGATACAGAAAGATTGTGATCTACCAAAGGATATGGTTAACAGAGCTGAGATGGTATCCTGACTTCCTGGTCTGGGCTTTAGCTACCATACCACGCTCATTTCCTTCCTCCTTATGCAGAAGGAATGTCTTGTAGTGTGGGCTGTGCAGCGCCTGGGTGGTGGTGGTGGAATAAAACATGGTGAGGGGTAGGCTACAATAGCAGTAACTTGTCCTTTGTTTCAGCTTGGTGGCAATTCCTGTCTATGTTAAACACAACATCAGTTTCCGTGACAGCAGCTCATTGGGACGCTTTGAGATCACAGTGGGACCCAAGCAGACTATGGGAAAGACTGTAGAGGGGGTGATGGTCACCAGCCAGATGCCAAAAGGGGTCTTGAACATGAGCCTCACCCCCTCACAGGGAATGCACACCTTTGATCCAGTTACAAAGGTGAGAAAAAAGGATGCAGTGGGACTTTTCTTATAGCCTGATGTACAAGGGTCACTCTCTTGGTAAGAACATAACATAAGACGAAAAGTCCATCTAGCCCGGTATCCTGTCTTCCGACAGTGGCCAAACTGCATAAACTGCTTTCTCTGGGTTTTGGCCTAAGATCTGGAGGGGAGCTCCTTGTCTCAAGAAATGTCTCCACTTGTTTGGCGCTGAGCATCACTCCTAGTAGAGCCTTCCCTACCTGGAGAGAGCCCCCTGCCCTGTACTGAGAGGAATTCTTATCTAGTGTGCCAAAACTAGTCGCTTATGCCCATTGTGATGCAGACTGATCAGCTCAGGGCCCTGAGCAAATAGCCAACCCCCTCTGAATTGGGATGGGCAATATCATGGAAGTGGAGATGGGGATTATCTCCTGCAGTAAAACACCTGATTTTTGGTCACTCACTCCTGCATGGTGATGGGAACAGAAGTTACAAGGATTGTAATGACAGGTTTCAGAGTAACAGCCGTGTTAGTCTGTATTCGCAAAAAAAAGAGGAGTACTTGTGGCACCTTAGAGACTAACCAATTTATTTGAGCATAAGATGCATCCGATGAAGTGAGCTGTAGCTCACGAAAGCTTTTGCTCAAATAAATTGGTTAGTCTCTAAGGTGCCACAAGGATTGTAATGCTCCACAAGAAGGATTTATTGCTACATGGTCAGACTATGGGTCTGTGTAAAGGAATGTGCGTCTTGAACTGTGATTACAAAATTTCCTTGCCATAAGGTCTTATCAAAGGGGATATACTTATTTTTATTAGTTTGGTTTTTTTGGGTCCCTTTGCCCAGATTCCTTTACAGGGAACATTTGATGCCCCAGCTGGGTAAAAGTGAGGTGGAGTCTCACTGGCAGTGCCAATCTTGGCCACTGGGGGGCACGCTCCTTTAATCAGACCACAGTTTCACTATGCAGCATTAAATCCTCTTCATGGCTTGAATGTGAAGAACCAAATACTGGGATGGGCTGAAAGCATCTTTGCTTAAAACCTTCACTGGGATGGTCCTTTACACGAGTGAGTCTCAACTAGTGGTACATGTACCCTGGGGGTACACAGAGGTCTTCGGGGTACATCAGCTCATCTACAGGCTACGTTAAAAACCACTAGCAAAGTCAGTACGAACTAGAATTTCATAGGGATAATGACTTGTTCGTATTGCTCTATATAACATACACTGAAATGTAAGTACCATATTTATATTCCAATTGATTCATAATTATATAGTAAAAATGAGAAAGAAAGCAATTTTTCAGTAATAGTGTGCTGTGACACTTTTGTATTTTTATGTCTGATTTTGTAAGCAAGTCGTTTTTAAGTGAGATGAAATTTGGGGGTATGCAAGACAAATCAGACTCCCGAAAGGGGTACAATAGTCTGGAAAGGTTAAGCCACTGCTTTACAAGGTATCATCATTTCATCCATCTATCTTAATACCTTGTTTCTGTCCTTTGAAGTTGCTCTCATGGGATGTAGGGAAAATAAACCCCCAGAAGCTGCCGAGTCTGAAGGGAACTATGAGCCTTCAAGCTGGCACATCCAAACCTGATGAGAATCCCACCATCAATCTTCAGTTTAAAATTCAGCAGCTGGCTATCTCTGGTAAGTGGCTGTCAGCCTGGACCCTGGACAGTCCTGTTCTACTTCATGCACTGGGTGAACATATGTCTGACATGTAGAATGTGCTTCTGGATGCATATGGGGCCATGTGAGTGTCATAACTAGGTTCTTCATCTAAAATAGTCTCTGTAGTTGGACTATACACTGGTGTATGCTTAGGGGATTGTTCATACAGTCTCTCCTGATTGCTGTGCGGAACAGCCCATCTGTGTTTCCCTTATCTGTGCCCCCCTTAATTACTCTCCCCCTCTAGAGTTCTGTAAAGCATTTTAGGGACGTGTACAGCGCGTATGAACAATGCTGTTAACAAAGTTGAGGCAGGTGGTGACCAGCAGTCTATGTCCCTTTGCCTTCCTTCTGCTTTCCAGTATTGCCTGCACATTGTTTCTAGCTTTTGTGCTCTCTCAAGGCCTCTCCCCTCCATCTGTGGCAGTATTGCAGCTCTCCTCCAACCCTCAAAGTTTCACTGTCTTTTCATTTGTTTTAGGGCTGAAGGTAAATCGCCTGGACATGTATGGGGAGAAGTACAAACCGTTCAAGGGCATAAAATACATGACCAAGGCTGGCAAGTTCCAAGTCCGAACTTAGAGAGCCCAAGAGTGAGGCAAGAACCACAAGCATTTTCTCATTTCCTATGTACCCAGTTGTTGGATCCAGCCTCTGCCCGCTATCAACCCCCATGGGGCTGCCCCCTTGCTTTTTTCTAGTTCCTCCAGGGATGCCAGTACCCAGGTGGATTGGCAATGGCATATACAGGGAAGAACAGGACTGACCTGAAACCATCTCAACTTTAGCTGAGTCTTAAGTTCTCAAGTGGCGGCAAAGGAAAATGTGAGAAATGTTCCAGTTCCTCGGGGATGTGGGTTCCGATATGTCAACTCAGTTCTTTCTACCTTTAACCTGCTTGGCAAAGGACACTCTGGAGGCCTACTCCCCTTGTGAGCCCCGTACCATGCATTGCTAGGTTGGCTAGCATTTCTATGCAGATCGAACAAGGTTCAGTTAAAGAAGCTGGACTCAAAATTTAATGGTTTAGAATTTGCTCCTCTCCCTAACTGGCGATTCTTGTTAGAACTGGAAGGAGAGATAGGATTAGTCATGTGAGAAGAGGTCAGTTGCAATATTTCTTTGGAGAGGCAAAGGGAAATGGAGGCATCTCCTTTCCAGAAGTGGGAAGGAGGGAGCAGGAGCCTGTTCAGAAGGTTCACAAGGGGAGCAGGGAGGAAGTTGGAAGAGTGAATCTGGTTATCTCTTGCTACACAGAGCTCTCTTGATCATTACATAACTTGAGCCTCTGAGGAGAGACTGGAAATTCCCAACTAAACCTAGCCTTATGCCCTGCCAAGAGCTGACTGGAGCAGGGATTACCTTGTGATGTCTGAAGGATGGGGGTATCTGAACATGCTTACTGTCGTGAGACCCTGCTTCTCTTCTCTATTCAGTATTTTGGGGGGCGGGGGAGTGTTCTCTTGGTTCCCTTGTTGGGGGAGGTGGGACAGTTGTATATATAATTATTTAAGCATCTGTGTGAAGTGACGTATGATGGCAACCCTAATGGCTGCTAAATGAAGAGGATAGGCTCTGTCCTGGCAAAGCGTAGGGGAGAGCGATGCCTCTCTCCTTATCTGTAACAATGGCTATGGTGGTTCTGTTGCTCACTGATGTGTTTGTTTAAGGTCCCATGTCCTAGTATGTTTATGATGTTCCTGGCTGTTATACTTGATTCCACTCCCTGCCTTGTTTTGCTACTATGCCGATAGACTTTAGCCTCTTTTGTCATTCCTCTGGGGTCATCTGTCCTATGAGAGACTATGCCGCATTTGTTCCCATTCCAGCCTGTGCTGCATCTCGCTGCACAGAGTAATGTATACATGGACAGTGTGCATATTGCTCCATGTTGCCCATGATGTGCTCTTCAGCCACTGAATGCCATATGTGCTCTTCTGGGGTAACAGAACTTACCTGTGGTCTACTGGGCATATGACTACATAACCCAGAAAGCTTCCTTGGCTGTGCAGTCAAGCACACATAACCTGTGTGTATGTGACCAAGAGGAGTGACACCCACTGTGGGATAACATGCATTCTGCTCTGATCTGTGTGTGATGTATGTTTGTAATGGGTGATTGTTACCTCATTTTGGAATTAGATTCCTGTGCAGCTAATATGAATGCTACTGCAGGGTGGCCTAGGATCTGAGCATGCTCAGTGCAAATGTAACAGTTCTTCCAGGGTATCAATAAAAGTCAATTTTACCCGTTGTGTGTGTTCAGTGTTCTGTCTGGGGTTCAAAAGGGATGCAGAAGGTATGCATGGTTGAAGTTAGATCATGCTAACTGGATCTTAGGTGATTGGGACCCCAGTGAGATGATCAGTGTATCAATAATCTGAATTATTCCCAAATCAGCAAGTTACCATGCTGAAATTAATTGATTTATTGGGATTACTATTTCTAATGGCACCCAAAGATGTGCTGTGCACCTACCAAAACGGAAGACATGATACCTCCATTATAAAAGACAGGATGTGCCTGATAGCTTATTCTCAGTGCGGCTCCAGATCTTATTCACCTTCCTTGGTCTAAGATATCTTGAATTTGGTGACCTCGCTACAAAAACACTATCAGATGGGTCTTTTGCAGGCTGCCTGGACTGTCCAGGTATCCTGCAAAAGATATATATTTAATATGTTTTTTGGAGAGGGCTGAGTGTGCTTCCCAAAATGATGAAGGAATGGAAAGGAGTTCTGTAGGTTTCTTGTCTGGCTATGTTCCTGTTGAAATAATTACTTTAATGCGGTTGGGATTTCATTGTATTGTATGGTAAATTATTTTTTAGGATGTCTAGAGCCTTGCATAGGCATTTTTTTGTTGTTCTTAATCTAAATAAATAAATACCTGCATGAGGAGCTTACAAGCTAATATAGAATATAGGGACAAACAAGGCACCAAGTAGAGGGGTGGGAAACATTAATGAGGTTACTCTGATGGCTAGGAAGTGACATGTTGGAGGAAAGGAAGGTGGGGCTTTAGAAGGACTTGGGGTGTATTTTAATTAGAATAAATGTCTAGCTGGCAAACTTTTGGCAGGCATTGGGGCTGGAAGTTCTTGAGGAGTTTGAATGAGATACGGGTCTTGGCTTTGTAGACTTGTTTGTGAAGGGTGAGCCATACATCAGAGGCAATAGCAGAGTGGTAAGGAAAGCTCAAAGGAGAAGGAGAACAAATGGCATTGAGGCTAGCATCGGTAATGAGGCATGGGAGTGATGCAATGAGAAATAAGGTCTGTTAAGTGCTAGAGGGTACAGTAATGGAAGATTTTGAAGGTGAGATAAATGAAGTTGAATACGATGTGATCAGTGACAGGTCAGGGAAATGCTCTTGCCAATGGTAGGTTGTCTTTTAATCAACTAAAGATGGCACCATGGGCTTCAAGGAGACTGGAGAGGAGGTACGCAAGGTAAGAGAAGGGTCAGAATGAGAGTGCTACATATAGAAGTTGAGTCTTAGAGCTGTTGAGGAGGAATAAGTGGTAGTATTTGTACACAATCGAGTGAGGGAAAGGAAGGTGTCAAGGTTCCCCCTCTCTCCTCAGGCTACAGGCCTGAGTGACAGACAGTGGAGGAGGCACGGATTTTTGGAAGAAAGATGAGGAGTTCACTCTCTTGTCCTTATTAAACTGACCACGAGCCATCCAAGAGATGTAACAGGCTGATATGCTGGATTGAATGGAAGGATTTGTTAAAGTCAGAAGGGACCACTGTGATAATCTAGTCTGACTGCCTGTGTAATAAGTGATAGAACCTCCCAAAAATAATTCCTAGAGCAGATCTTTGGTTAAAAAAGTTGCCAGTGATGGAGAATCCACCATGACCCTTGGTGAATTGTTCTAAGGGTTAATTACCATCACTGTTAAAAATTTATGCCTTATTTCTAGTCTGAATTTGTCTACAATCCAGCCATGGGATTGTGTTATACCTTTTTCTGCTAGATTGAAGAGCCCATTATCAGATGTTTGTTCCTCATGTAGGGACTTATAAACTGTGATCAAGTTGCCCCTTAATCTTCTCTTTGTTGAGCTAAATAGTTCGAGCTTCTCGATTCTATCACATAAGGCATGTTTTCTTATCATTTAATCATTTTCATGGGTCTTCTCTGAACCCTTTCCAATTTTATCAACATCCTTCAACTATGAACACAAGAATTTGACAGCTGTAGTCACACCAAACACAGAAATAAAATAACCTCTCTACTCCTACTGGAGATTCCCCTATGTATTTATCAAGGATCATACTAACTCTTTTAACCACAGTTGCCCTGGGAGCTTTTGTTTAGCTGATTATCCACCACAACCTGCAAATCCTTTTCAAGTCAGTATTTCCTAGGATAGAGTCCCCCATCTTGTAAGTATGGCCTGCATTCTTTGTTCCTAGATGTATACATTTACGTTTAGCTGTATTAAAACACACATTGCTAGCTCCCAGCTTACCAGATGATCCAGATCACTCTGTCACAATGACCTCTCCCCTTCGTTATTTACCATGTCCCCAGTTTCTGTTTCCTCTGCAAACTTTATCAGTGATGATTTTATGTTTTCTTCCAGGTCATTGATTAAAATGTTAAATAGCATAGGCCCAAGAGTCAATCCCTGTGGAATCCCACACCTGCTTGATGATGATTCCCTTTTTACAATTACATTTTGAGACTTATCAACAAGCTTTTAATCTATTTAATGTGTGCCATGTTAATTCTGTATCATTCTAGTTTTAATAAAATGTCGTTCAATACCAAATCAAAACCTTACAGAAATAAAAATGTATTACCAACAGTATTGCCTGTATCAACCAAATTTGTAATCTTATCAAAAAAGATATCAAGTTAGATTGACAAGATCTATTTTCCATAAACCCATGTTGGCTGGCATTAATTATATATTGCCCTCCTTTAATTCTGTATTAATCGCGTCTCATATCAGCCGCTCCATTATCTTTCCAGGCCAGGAGTGGTTGTGCGTTGTCAGCATAGAGATGGTTGCCAAAGCTGGCTTGAGGTCCTTCATTAGTATCCTTAGTGAAACTTGCATCATTGCCTCTGCCCCTGGGCTGTCTCAGGATAATCCTCCAGTGAGTAACTTGTCAAACATAGAGTTGGAAATGTATATGATGCCAAACCCTTTATCTGAGGCTTCCACCTGCTTTCTGCGATTTGCGTCTCTCTGGGGTTCCGTTGTATTTCTTTCCTGTGCTAAGTAGGGGTCCTAACTCAAATAATGAACTGTTTTTTACTGAATATAACATGAGGCCAAAGTTACTGTCCTACACACACTGCTCATGTCTTGCACTGGAATTGTATAGTATGTTTTCACATCTGCTGGAGGCTGATAGACTTGCACGTGCCAAGAGAACTGAGGCCCAGCAGGCTTGGAGATGATTTTGGGGGTTGCTTTTTACAGGGAATTCACCTCACCCAAGGCCAGAATGGAAGGGATGGGCCTGTCTGAACACACTAATCTCAGAATGCCATCCATTCTCTAGGCCTCTGTCTTTGGTGGAAGAGCATGGTGGTGGATCACCAGAGTTTTTTTTCAAAGCTGTGATATATCACTAACCAACAGAAATGTTTTCTAACGTACTCACCTTGACTAAATCAGGAAAGCTGGCCTTGTGGGTAAGGCAGGGGATTGGGTCCTGGGGGAGCTGAGATCAGTCCCCAGCTCTGTCACAGACTCCCTATGTGGCCTTGAGCAAATCACTTAATATCTCTGTCTCAGTTGAGACTTCTGTAAAACAGGGATAATATTTTCTGCTACCCTTGTCTCTCATCTATTTGGGTCATAAACTCTTCTGGCAGGGACTGTCTCCATGTGAATGTACAGCATTTAGCACAATGAGACCCTGATCTTGGGCCATCTATGCATTGCTATAATGCAAATAAATAATCGTGTAAGTTTTATCGGTGGTTTTGGTATATGGTATCAGGGTTTAGCCTATGTTGTTTCCTGTCAAGAGATGTTCCTTGAAATTATCTCAACCTCTTCAACATTTAAATGGTAGGCTGTACTAGAAACCAAAGATCCGGTCCAGGGGCAGCCTGTGCTCCATCACATCAGATGACAATTGAAGGAAATGTTAGTTTAAAAAATACTTTCTGACGAATACAACAGGCTTCTTACAAGCTACGGCTGCTGTGTCTCAAGACTCAGGTTTGGTGTCTGGGAAGGAATGTTTGTCTTCCTTACTGTTAGCAGATTTTGTTACAGAGATCTATAAACTTGCACCCCAGCATTCAAGGAAAGAAAACTTCACCCCAGAGCCCTGCTAAACCTCTTGGGAACAAGATGCTTCTCTTCTTTTTTTTTTTTTTTTTTTTTTTTGTAGTAAGTCTTAAAGTGTCTCTCTTTGATTAACTCTGCTGTTTCGTTTCGATTAAATCTCTAAAGTCTTCCATATTCTCATCACTGTAGGCTGTGAACCTTGCTAAAAATGCACTGGAACCTGACCAGGACTTTGCAAACAACCCTGGTGCTCAAGCCTGCTCCGCTGCTGAGTCAGCGACCTCTGCACTGAGGCATTGTCTCTATAGTCTGTGGTTTCCGTAACCCAGTCTGAGAGAGGCTGCTGTCTTTTCACTTTGCATTTTCAAACCAGGAGGCCAAACTGCTCTGGTTAATTAAATTTAAAATGATTCCTGTTTGAACATGCCCGGGCAGCCCCAGTGGGATGCAGCCAAATTCCTCCCTTTGTTTGCCCTGAAACTATTATTTTTCAAATAGTAATATTGCATGATTATCCAGAGTAAGCCTCTCTGTGAGGAGAGGAAAGTTGTGTGTATCTTAGGAATTTGGATACATAAGGATCTAAAATCAAAATCTCTGACTCAGGCACATGTGTTCAGGACAGGCTTAATGGCTGTTGGGGGCTATTATACCTTCTCAGTAGTAACTCTGACTAAACTGTTCCAGCAAATTTCATTGAGAACTACTTGACCCAGGGAAAAGTCAAACAACCCTGTTTCTGGAAAAGGAGCTGCCCTTAACAGTTCTGGCATTAAGCACAGGTACAACAAAGGCCACTCTATGCTGCATCCTATCTCTCCTCCCTATGCATCCTGCAGTCAGTGGGACTGAGAGCACATCCTGGTGAAACGTGACCAGAAACACCCAAACATTACTGTAGAGGGCTTGCCACGCCAGTGAGTACTGAGTAGCAGGAGACAATACTAGTGAGTGGCAAATGCCATACGTGTATATAGCTCTTGACAGTGATAAGAAAAGTCTGTGCCCTGAAGGGCTTATGAGCCAAGAGCTTGACCCTGCCAGCCTTGCTCATGCTGAGTACTGTTTTACTCTGAGAGCAATCCCATTGATTTCTGTGGGATTGCTTGAGGAGTGTGATACTAATCAATGTGACAGGTTTCAGAGTAGTAGCTGTGTTGGTCTGTATCCTCAAAAAGAAAAGGAGTACTTGTGGCACCTTAGAGACTAACACATTTATTTGAGCATAAGCTTTCGTGAGCTACAGTTGCATCCGATGAAGTGAGCTGTAGCTCACAAAAGCTTATGCTCAAATAAATGTGTTGGTCTCTAAGGTGCCACAAGTCCTCCTTTTCTTTAATCGATGTGAGTAAGGGTGGCAGAACTGAGTGGTATGATAAGAAAAGCTGTAGAAAAATTATATATGTGCAAGAGGTAAGTGTGACATAATGCATTGTGGATGGTTTAGATTACAGGTTTCTTTGGTGTAATGGCTTAACTGTCAGGGGTGACATTTGGGAGTAAAAGGGGAGGGGTAAAAAGAGTGTGAATTTTTAGGAGGGTCTTCAGTGACATTCCTGAGTATATAGGGCAGGGAGGCTATTCCAGGCATCAAGGGTGATGTACAAAAGGCTTACAGGTTTTTTTTCTGCTGACAGCTCCATCCTTACCTATTTGACCTTTTTCTTGTCTAAGTGTTCAGCTGTCTGTCAGAAGGAAAGCAAATGGAAGAGTAGCTGGTGTATAAACAAGCATAGAATCATAAAAATGCAGGAGTGGAAGGAATCTTGATAGGTCATCTAGTCCAGTCCCATGCACTGAGGCAGGGTTAAGTATTATCTAGGCCATCCCTGACAGGTGTTGGTCTAACCTGTTCTTAAAAACCTCCTGTGATGGAGATTCTACAACCTCCTTAGGTAATTTCTTCCAGTGCTTAATTATCCTACAGTCAGAAAGTTTTTCCTAATGTCTAACCTAAATCTCCCTTGCTGCAACTTAAACCCATTAGTGTATGCCTTGTCCTGTGTGTGTTCATACATTTTGGACTTCAGCACTGCTATGAAGAGTTGAGCTGAGCAACCCATGTATTTTGCTTTGCTGCTCATACCAGAGCCAATCTCAAACAGTTCAAGTTACCAAAGTAAACAGGGACAAGATAGAGTTTATATTCATTCATTGTTAGCTCATAGTATAACTTGAGTTTTGTCCCTAATGCTCCAAGGTCTAGCTCAAACTGAACGGTACTTTAAACTCAAGCTATCTGGCCCATCTGGTGGGATACGATGAAGCCTGAAAAAAGAAAAGGAGTACTTGTGGCACCTTAGAGACTAACCAATTTATTTGAGCATGAGCTTTCGTGAGCTACAGCATGCATCCGGTGAAGTGAGCTGTAGCTCACGAAAGCTCATGCTCAAATAAATTGGTTAGTCTCTAAGGTGCCACAAGTCCTCCTTTTCTTTTTGCGAAGACAGACTAACACGGCTGCTCCTCTGAAACCTGTCACGATGAAGCTTGAGTGCTGCTGGAGCTAGTCATGAAGTACAGATGCAGCAGCACCTCCCCAGTTTTGCTAATCAAACCCCTCCGAGTTTACAAACTCAAACTAAGTGCTGCAGTGAAGATCAGCCCTTCATCTCATGTGGAATTTCTCTCAGCCTGACAGCCATATCACAGTCATAGTCAAATAGGTCTAGAAGGGCTCTCATGGTATAGGTTTACTTAATCCCAGAGGCAGGATTAAGTAAACCTATACCATCCCAGACAGGTGTTGGTCTAACCTGTTCTTAAACCTCCAAGGAGGGGGATTCCACAATCTCTTTGCTAACCTGTTCTAGTGCTTAACTATACTTATAGTAAGAGTTTTTTCCTAATATCTAACCTACATCTCCCTTGCTACAAACAAGCCAATTCCTACTTGTCTTACCCCTTTGTGGACAGGGAGAACAATCAATTGCCATCTTTACAGCAATTTTTTTACAAATTTGATAAACCCAGATCTTTCAACCTTTCTTCACAGGTCATGTTTATTAAAACTCTTAGCATTTTTGTTGGCTCTCCTCTGGACTCTAATTTCACATCTTTCTTAACATGTGATGCACAGTACTCCAGCTGTGGCCTCCTCAGTGCTGATTAGAATGGTACAGTTACTTCCTGTGCCTTACATATTGCTCTCCTGTTAATACATCCCAGAATGACATTTGCCTTTTTTTGCAATGTAAATCAGTCTGTTTTCATTGACAAACTTTATATTAATAATGACTTTGGAGGTAATAAAGCTGAATTCAGAAGACCAAAATAGTTTAATATTCCTAGGGATAAGCCTAGGTTTGCCAGAAAGTCAGTATAGTAGTAGGAATTATACTGTCATACAAAAAAACAAAACTGACAAATACAGGAAAGTTTAAATATCTGCATAGTATAAAAATAATATTTCAAAGTGCTGCAGGAGATAAGTGTCGTTAGAAGATTGTTCTGAGCAAGTGGATGGACTCACAGCATGTTTGTGCCTATGAGTGAAACTGACATCAGGCAAAGTGCTCACTTATTCTAGGAATCCCACTGCATGGAACTAGGGTGGTGGTAGAACATCCTCTAATCCCATGCTTTTCAGTGTGTGCTCATCTTCAGGTGTTTCACCTGAGATCACAAAACTTGGATTCTCTCTTTGCATTGCAAGCTATGATCCCCTTTCACTCTGTCTACCCCTCTCTAGATTTTCAAGGGCACCTTGGAGAGGTGGGGCTAGCGCTAAATAGTGTCTATATTTTTATTTTACGAAAATACGGAGGTGGGAGTGGATTTGAGCAGCAGCCCATACCCTCTGAGGTGGGGGTGGAAATGGGACATGGTCCAAGCTCTACAGTGCATTTACAGTCATGTTTCTGTGTACACACTTTGGAGTATAGTGCAAGTGTCATAACCTTACCCTCTAAAAGAGAGAGAAGATGGCTTCCAGAGTTTAGACTTGTGCCTTTTTGCCTTCTATACACTCCCACTACTGCTGTGGGCTGCAGAGACTCCTTTGTTAGTACTTGGGGGTTTTTGGGGGGGGGGGGGTAGAACTTACTTTTCATTGTGCCTATATGACCTGGTACAAAATTTAAAAAAAAAAAAACCCCACTGCTAATAATCTCTAAAGAGGAGAGAGAAAGTACCTAAAAAGTGTATGGCCCTCCCTCCACTCTGCTGTGCACCTGCACCCTACAGGTGAGTGATCATAGGGCATTTGTGCAAACAGCAGCACCTGTCAGCATCCTTAGTACCTCCTGTATGGGAGGGGTGGGGGCATGACTGCAAGGCCTTGAGTGATTCATTTTCCTCCTTCAGGGTTTCATTTTGTCCCGAATCCAGTCAAGGTAACGAGTCACATTTGTATAGATGCCTGGTGTGTCTTTCCGTCCACAGCCTATTCCCCAGCTGATGATCCCAATCAGATGCATACGATTATCCTTCATACAGACCAGAGGCCCTCCAGAGTCACCCTACAAGGAGAAACCAGGTTAGTAAGAAGTTCATTCACTTTCTTTACTTGCTGACTGGACGCTAAGCCTTCCAATATTAGATTCCCTGTAGATACTTCCTCTGCACTGCCCAGCTTACGTGCCGTGCTTCAAGTAGAGTTGGTGAGAGCCCCTCTGAAAAATTAGGATCCGTGTTTACTAGGATAGCATCCTACACCCCTTCTGCTATACCAAGGAAAAAGTGAGATCCTAAAATACTTCCCAGCATCATCCCTGTAAAAATCAGTCTGAAACTCGCATCAGGAATCTTTAAAGTACAATAATCCTAGAAGAATCTTGATCAGGTTTCCCCCTCCCACCCCCCCAACTGTGTAAAGTGGTCACTGTATAATGCTGTGGTATGTAGAGAACATGCTCATTAGGGAATTATGGATGCTGATATGTGGGGCTTTGTTTTAGGAACTTTAACTATTTCTGCCCCCCAGTTCTGATGCTTCTGGAGCATGCTCTCCCCTTTGCCTGTTAGTCCCATTTCTGTGGGGCAGTGCCCTATCCGATCACAGACCCCCCCTGATGAGCACTTCATGTTCTGTTTCTGTAAAGGAAAGTTACAGGAAACCCTGCACCAGGTGGGGTTTCCTGCCCAGCTATTGGTAACATTTCCTGCAGTTTGGGTTTTCAATGCCCTTTGTCCTAGGTTTATTTTGGTTAAATGTGACCTCTCTTCCTGGCTGCTGTGAAGCTTACAGCATCACAAGGGACAGTCTTGCTCCAGAGCCCACCATATGCGGATGCATTTGCTCTGCTTTATTGGAGCATAGTGCTTTGTTAGCAACTATTTTCTGGAGGAAACCGGAGGAAACAGGTAGAGACAGGGGTAGGTTTACCTTGCAGGCATCATCCAGTTGCCTGGTGTCCCCTGCACACAGCATGTTCTCAGTGATTGTCTTGTTCAGGTGCTGTGATGTGCAGCGACTAGGTGGAAACAGTCTGACATGACCTTCCTTCAACCGCTCCGAGTAGAAAGGAGAAACTGCAAGAGAAATGGATGTATTTGATTGGGTGGGGGGTGCAGAAGTTCCTTGTAAATGGATAGGGAAAAGGGATGGAAAGGGGACTTGGGAGGTACTGACAGTGAAATGGGGGAGAGGGCAGCAGCTGGTTTCAGGCTGGAAGGAGAGTCCTGGGGGGTTCACATATCTGCTCCCAGTCCCATTCCAGTCCCTCCAGATCCTACTCCCTGACTCAATGGCAGCTGCTCCAGTCCCTGTGGGTCCTGCTGTCACCACCCCACACACACTAGTTTATGCAGGGGCAGAGCCCACACAGTTTCCATTGCTGGAGCACTACCCCATCCCTCCCTAGTTCTGCTGCCCCCAGATACCTCTGGGGTTTTGCAAGTCGTCTTCCCGCTCCCCATTCCAGAACTATCATCAGGGAGAGCAAAGTTTCTAAAGTAGGTACAGAAAAATCTCAACTCTTATCTACTTGAGTCACTTAAAATCCATCGGTTTTGTTTTGGCGCTGGGAAACTGCTTCGGACCTAGCTGGGACAGGATATGGCTTCTCTCAGCTGACTGTAGTGTCCTAAATTGCATCCACTAAAAGCCTTCCATTTCAGCTAAAGCTTTTGTTTGGTAAAATGGTTTGTTAATTGTGTAAAGTTAGGGAGGGGTGGGGGTGAGGGAGAATATTGTGAGCTCTCTGAAAGGGGTTATGGCTTTAGGGGATTAGACTTGCTCTAATGGGAACCAGATGTCCTATCTGTATACACACAGACTCGATCATAAGTAACTAGATAGGAATGCATTATGGCTCTACTGAACTCAGAAGGGACAAAACTTGTGTTTTGAGAGGTTAATATCTTGGTCATTTCAAGCTGCATTGGCCTGAAACTTGGCAGAATAGTTTTTATCTGTCAAACGATTTTTCAGAAACACAAAACTTGATTTCAAATGAGGTTTCACCAAAGGATGCTTTTTAAGGATTAGCTTCCTTTCACACTTCGTCACTTAACCCTCTGTTTGTCCTAAAAGTACACTGATATACGCTTGGAGGCATAACTACAGCAGCACGGAGAGGCCCCAGTCAGAATCTGGGCTCTACTATGCTGGATCCTGCACAAACAGTCGGCCCTTACTTTGAAGGGCATGCAATTTACTGAGAGAAAAGATGCAAGATTAGGGATAACAGGCACTAGGAAGGAGCCAGGGGATAGGGGAAGATGATGGCCAAAAGAAGACTTATTTCCACCAGACAGCTATTTGCATATCTAGATGGATAAACACTTTTTTTAAAAAGCCAACTAGAAATAATCTAGCTGTGGTTTAGTTGGCTTCTAAACATCTGTTCTTATTGCTGTTTCTCTTGTTCCTAAGCATCATACAGTTCGTGTGCTTTACTAGAATATAGTGGCATGATCTGCAACTGTGCAATAACACTTGACAGGAGAATTATTTCCAGGAGAAGTGAGAGAGAATCTTTCTACATATAAATTAAGAGGAGGAAATACGGAGTTAAGGCTGCAGTGTTCCACCTAGCTCATTTGTTGTGCTTGAGTCTTGCACCTCCCAAGATACTTCCCCACTGTCTGTAGGTTTCATACAAGGGATGGAGCTCAGTAGGGTGCTACAGGTATAACTCAGGGCAGAATTTGGCCTGAGGTGTACAGTCACTGTAATACTAACTACAGTAGTAGTGATTCCAGGGACAACTTGGTTATTTTAAATATGAAGGTGAGGGACAGGAGCCCTGTGGAAGAATTCCTTACATAGGGTACATCATCTCCTTACATTCCTCATGCTTGCCGTAGCCAGAGATCTCACATTCCGTCCAGTCAGGCAGCCGAAGTCCTGGCTCTGGGAGGCAGACAGTGCGGACAGTGTCCATTTCATTAGCACACTCTTCTGACCCAGACTTCAGCTGTAACAGAACTGAAAAGAAAATGTATAAGAACAGGCTTGGGCTGGTGGTGCAGTTTCTGAATGTGTGGCTAGGGGAGTTCTTACCGATATCATTGTCATAAGTTTCTGGGTCAAATTTGCTATGCAGGATGTATTTCTCCACTTGGAATTGCTGCTCATTCTCCTCAGGGATCATTCGATAGGTCCTACCCAGTACAATCTTTAGCTGGTTGACACTAAACCTGGACAACGAAAGAGCTTTGAGCATCTCCCAGCTTCAACTCCAGAGACCCATCCTTTGAAGGTGTCAGCTGCCCAGCCGGGGCTCAACTTTTTCTCATGTAGAATTGTTACTCCTTACATAACCAGTCAGTCTGGATTTATATTCAGGGGTGTCCTCATCTTCCTCATAGCACTGACTATTGCATACAGTGGAAAATCTCATCTGCTCTCCCCACACCCCGCCATGTCTCAGGCTGCCCCAGGTTCTATTCTTATTGCCCTGTATAACAGATTAATTCTTAGTCTCCTGGAGGTATCTTCTGTCCCACAGCTTGTTTGCCTCCCAAGCTCCTTTCTTGATACTGGCCATGTTCATCTTGACCATCTCTTTACTATAGGACTTTTGATAACTCCAGATGCTTCCTTTGTATTCTCTCTCTCACTCAGAGAAAAAAAAACAATCAGATAATCCTTTCTTAAACTCAGTAACTAGAGTAGCATGCAGGGTTCCAGATGGGGCCTCGATGGAGCCATGCACAATGGGATGGGGTCTCCATGACTGTGCAGTAAGTTTTCTGTATAAAGCAGTCACTGCAACAATCGCTCCCATTCCCCAGATTTGAGCCTAGCTTAACAGATGCAGGGTTAACTCTGAGAATGAGATTGACAGGAAGTTGCAGAGTTTAAACCCCACTATTCCTACACTATAGTTCTTAAGTACAGTAGGCCTAGCCCAAGACCACAGCCTTGCCTTCCTTCACTGTGCTACCGCTGCAGGAGAGTGCCTTCCTAGCTGCAGCAGTGAGAGAGGTGATATGAGGGGACCTTTGTATCTAGTTAAGCTGTCCTGCATCCCCAAGGGTGGTGGTGGTGAGGATCTTATTCTACAGCTGGGAAAGTAATGTAGGGAGCAAGAGGTTCTGAAGGGCACAGTTACTCGGACTCCCTCTGCATGCAGCAGCTCCCACCCTGGCTCAGTGTCTACCATGGAAGGGTAGTCAGGGCACTGGGATCTTTTTCTCTCAGTACTCCCACTGCTGCAATCGGGAGACCCAGTATCTAGTCCCTATGCTAGAGGCGCTAACTGGATTCTTCTCTCACCTCTCCTGGAAACAATGGGCAGCTGACAGGACCCAGCAGGAGTTGATCAGGATTCCTCCACACAGGAAATGCTCCCCAGTCACTCGACGATACCTGGCAAAAATGGCAGCCTGCCATGGGTGGGAGGTGATGTCTGCATAGAGGCCGCCTTTAATTCGGAATTGGGCCACTTTGTGCTGCCGTAGGCCACACGTGGCTGTGGATGACAAACACAGAAATCAGAATAAGGGCCACAGCACAAAGCCTCTCTCATGGGGTAAAAAGCCTCCATGTGCTTAGCATCTGCTGAAGCAGCACTGAACACAATGCTGTTGATGACCTGATTTCTCTTACCCCCTGGAAACCTGCCACACGAGCAGGAAAGAAAGCAAGGAAGCCCTGCACGTGCACCCCCGTTCTCCTGCCTTCCTTGCAAGTCTGGAAGAGACACCTGTGTGGGAGCCACAGACTCCCCTGCTGCTCTGCCACAGCGGCAATCCAGCCCTTACCTTACTGAAAGGGGCTTGAGTGTGACAATGGCAAGAAGCATAGCAGTGGGGACTGAAAGGAAGAGAAAAGTCAGGGGAGAGCGAGTGTGGGGATGTTCCTTACAGCAGACAGGCACGTCGCAGTATTCCCACTTTGGCTGGCCTGCCTCCAGCACGTGGCACCATGGCCTGGAGTCATTGTCAGGGTTTCTGGAATACAGAAAAGGGGAAGCTGTTTCAGCTGCTCACACTCCCATTGGACCTGTAGAGAGCCTGGTGGGGGAGGGGACAATGGAGAAAAGCATTGTTTTCCAAAAACTGTATGTATCCTTCGAGTGTAACTTAGGGACAAGGCCACCTTGTGAGCTTTCAATGGAGGATACCAGATCTGTGCCTAGTAGTATCTGCAGAAAACTGCATGCATGGAGTGACATCACAAAGATAATCACTCTGTGGCCAGGCAGCATGTTCCCTGGAGTACTGTGTATCCCCTATGTCCTTATTCATGTGACAAGTCAGAGCTGCACCTTAGGGAGAATGGGGCAAGGGAGGTACCTTGTAAAAATTGTGAATTAACTCCCTGCCTACCGGCAGAAATTGTGGCTCCCAAGACCCAGCTGGTGGGCATTGAACCTCCAAGCTGTGTAGAATTTGTTGGCAATGGTTTTGGAGTCCCATCTCAGACAGGTGGCACCAGAGCTGGTAGTGCTGTGCCTGCCCCGGTACTCTATGCCCTTCCCAGAAAAGCAGTCGTCCTCTCCTGCAACAAGAAATCTGCAGATTAACTGATTAGTACCAGCTGCTAACTGTTCCCAGCATCACCTCCTCAGCTGTTTATATAGTGCATCAACTGTTGCCTCCTCTTCCAAGAAGATCTCCTCTCACTAATAATCCCCACTACATCAGTAAGACTCTTTCTTTTCAGCCAGAAAAGTTAGAAGCTTAAATGTAGTTTAAAGTGCTCAATTCTGCAGCCTATGGAAATGTCTGCGGGCCCAGGGACCCCTTAAAAATCTAGTCTCCACAGCAGGTATCCCCTCTGGCCCTGCACATACCTTTTAAGCAAGCAGGTGTGCTGCAGTATTCCCAGGTATACTGCCCCCCTTTGTAGACATGGCACCAGGGTTTGGAGTCCTCATCTGGGTTCCTGAGAGAGATGGTAACATTGTGTATATAACTCCATACCAATGCACAGTCCAGCCCTGGCAGTCTAGCTGAGTAACTTGAGGAATGTTGATTGTTAAATGGAAGGCAGGAGGAGTGGAGTGTTGTTTGTAGCTTACACGTGTGCAATGCTGATGCAGAGAGCACTAGAGATTGGGTTATTTAAGGAAGGTTTGGAGAGGCAGGTGGTGGCTAGGTAGATTGGCTCAGGAAGGGGGTTTCAGGTACAGAGGCAAGGATGGGAGAAAGGAACAAAGGAGGTGATTAGATATGCAGCTTGAAGCAGAGTGAAATCCCCTGTGGGAGAGCCAGAATGTAGGGCCTAGGAAGGAAGTAGCTTCCTGGCCCTTTCAACATACGATCCCCGCTTCTTTGTGGTCCTGTTACAGGGAAACCCTGTCACGGGCAACCTCAGCAGATCAGGTATGACCTTCCTTAGTTTCCTCTTAATCTGCTCATGCAAAGAATGACTGTCTCTTTCTTTCAGTACCAAATTTAAACCCTTTTATCCACATGAGGTGCCACAGATCTCTTATGCTAAACAGTTCCTCCCAAAACAAAACAAGGTTACAGCAGCTCTTCAGTCCCATGCCAAGGTCACCATTCCCAGGTCACCCATCTGAGAACCATTAGCCACTCTGTCCCAGTTCATTCTGAGCCTGCTTCAGGGCCCCACTCTCCAGGCCACCACCCTGAGAGTTCCAAGACCCACTTCTCTCCCATAAGTGTTCTCCAGTAGCCCCATGTCAGGTCCACCCCTGAGAGGGCCTCCCCACAGTGTTATACTCCCTCATCACCAGTGCCTCTCACCTGCAGTAGTTGTGATTGCCAAGTCCCAGTTGAGCAGCATCTGCTCTCCGCCCATTGTACTTTTTCTGAGCCAACGTGCTGATATTCCAGTTTAAGCACTCACTCCCACTCTCAGTCACGCTCCACGTCCCCCTGTATGTTGCTCCCAGGTCTTTGTAACATGGGACTTCGGTATCTAAGCAACAGGGAAGCAAAATGGTAGCTTCAAACTGGTCCCACATGGACTCTGCTTCCCTCCCCTGAGCTTCTGAGAGCTGTTCCCTTGTGGAGGGACCCTAGCTACCACAGTCACTAGCCCAGCATAAATGCCTCAACAGGCCAGTCCAGACCCCATGTCTAGCAGAGGGTCTTCATCCCCGAGGCTAGAAAGTATATATCTATGGTCAGGCCACCAGCACAGATATCCTTCCCCCAGATGCATAAGATCCCCTGTAGTATTAGCTCTGAAATAAATAGAGACAGCATAGCTCAGGGCCTGTTACATTGCAGCAACCTCTGGGTAGCTCTTCCCACAGCTCTGGGTAGCCAAACCCTTCCCCATTCCCCGAGCCATATGTAGCTCTACTCACTGCACATGCACTCACCTATCTCACAGTTCTTCCCAGAGAAGCCTTGACTGCACTGACAGATGAAGTGCAGAGGGGAGTATAATGCCTGCTTGCACTGACCCCCATTGTAACATTTCTTGTGAGCACATCCTGTCAAGCAAACAAGCCAGGAAACCTCATTAGATTTCACATCCGCAGGCAGCCATGAATATCTCCCCATCTGAGAAACTGGTATGGCCCCAAAAGTAAATGAATACTTTGCTTTAGCTTTCAGTAAGGATGATAATATGGAACATGTGAATAAATGTAGTACAGCTGATGGAAATGAGGGTCTAGAAATGGAAATTACCACATCTTAGGTGGAAGGAAAACTTAGATTTTAATGGGCTCAAATTGGGAAGACCAGGTAATTTCCATCCCAGAATATGGAAAGAACTGGCACATGAGACTAATAGGTAGCAAGGATTTTGACTAAATCTTTCTCTTTGGGGATAATACCATATGATGGAGAATACTTAACATCATACCTGTATTTAAGAAAGGGGGTGGGGGGGGAGTGATTGGGTAATTACAGACCTGTTAGTCTGACTTCAGTAGTATGCAAGGCTTTAGAACAAATTGTGAAGGAAAGAATAATTAAATTCATGGATATAATGGTAAAGGGGATGTAATGCAACATGGGTTTACCAAAGGTAGGTTGTGCCAGACTAACCTGATTTCCTTCTTTGAGAAAATAACTGATTTTTTAAAATAAGGGAAGTGCAGTAAATTTAATATACTTGGACTTCAGTAAATCATTTGACATGGTACCACATGGGAAACTATTAGTTAAATCAGGGAAGATTGGGATCAGTACAAGCATTTTAAGATGGATAAGGAACTGGCTAAAGGGGAGAACGCAGTGGGTTGTGCTGAAAGGTGAATTATCGGACTGGAGGGAGTTCCTAGTGGAGTTCCTCAGGGATTGCTCTTGAGACTAATCTTATTCAATATTTTTATTAATGACCTTGGCACAAAACTTGGGCATGTGCTAATGAAATTTGCTGATCATACAGAGTTGGGAGACATCGTGAGGAGGATCAGATTATTATATAGGAAGATCTGGATGATCTAGAAGACTGGAGTGACAGAAATGGGATGAAATTCAACCGTACAAAGTACAAGGGTCTAATAAGAATTTCTACTACAAGTTGGGAGCTCATCAGTTGGAGGTGACAGATGAGGAGTGAGACCTGGGTGTGGAGGTCCCTCACAGCACAGGATGACTGATCTACCAGTGTGATGCAGCTGTGAAAAAGGTAAATTCAATCCTAGGATGTATCAGACAAGTCATTTCCAGTAATGATAGAGAAGAACTAATGCCATTGTACAAGGTATCCTTGTAAGACCTCATTTGGAATACTGTGTACAGTGCTGGTCACCCATGTTCAAGAAATATGAATTCAAACTGGAACCAATGCAGAGAAGAGTTACTAGGATGATCAGGGGAACGGAGGGCCTGTCTTATGAGAGGAGACTTAGAAGGACTTGGCTTGCTTAGTCTAGCAAAAAGAAGGCTGAGAGGGGCTCTGATTACTCTGTATAAAAACATCAAAAAGGGGGTAATTACCAGGGAGGATGAAGAGCTATTTAAACTAAAGGACAATGTGGGCACACAAACAAATGGATATAAACTGGCTGTGAACAAATCTGGGCTGGAAATTAGACTGTTCCCAATAGGAGTTATCGGGGCAAACAACTTAGTTTTAACTGAGAGTTGGACAAATTTATGAGTGTGATGGTATGATGGGGTTGCTTGAGATGTAAGGGAAATGCACAGCAGTCCTAGGGCTCATTTCCAGTTTGTCTTATGTTCCTAAAAGCTCATGCTTCTGGGTTTCAGCTGGCAACTGGCAGAGGTCAGGAAGCAATTCCTCCTGCTCCCCCCCCCCTTTTTTTAAAATCCCCTTCCTCTGAAGCATCAGGCCTAGCCCCAGCTAGAAAAGGGACATTGGGCAGAGTGATTCAGGGCTCTGAGGTGGCATCTCTGTATCTGGTGCTTCACTGGCTGGTTCCTGCCAGGGCATCACTGACCCCATATGTGAGGCTGGGAAGGAATTTTCCCCCAAGTCAGTTTGGCAGAAAGCTTGGGTTTTTTCACTTTCTTCTGTGGGCTCGGGTCACTTGCCCGGATTATTTGGGTATATCTTACTTAATCATTTCTCTGCCACTGCAGGGGCCTGCGACATTGGTGCACCTTTATCCCTCCTATCCTCTCATAATAGTGTATTCTCATGTGGGCTGTATAATTTTTGTTCTAACTGTGGGTGCTGGGTGGTGTTGCTAGTCTGTGATAAACAGGAGGTCAGACTAGATGATCTGTTGATCCTTTTTGGCCATAAACTATGATTTGTGACCTCTCCTCTCAGCCTCCTTACTGCCCATTTCTCTCTGGCATGTTGCCAGATATGCGCCTTGTTTCCTGCCTCTGGTCCAGCTTGTACACACCTCCACCCCTTTCCTTCATCTTCCCCACTCACCCTGGCACATGCTTTGGCTCTGATCTCTGCTTACCTCTCTGGCCCAGCCTGCACTCTTATTCCTGCCTCAATGAGTAGGCACATCCTAGTGCATCCATGTAAACCCCAGATTCTCTGTGCACAATCATCATTCCCTCGAGAGCAGAGTCCCCCTTTCTGTCTAACAGGGCTGAATGCTGGAAATGCAGATGCTCCCCTTTCCCTTCCCAGCTCCTGCTCCATACTCACTTCTGACAGGCACGCTGTGGCAACGACTCCAACCATTGTCACACACACAATATTCTACTCTGCCTCCTGCAAGTCGTAGCCAGGTCTCCCTCTGCTGATAAATCTGTCGGGATGAACGGTCAGTGCAAGTGGCTGCAATTGGAGACAGGAAACCCTCCTTAGGAAAAGGCAAATGGGGTTGTCTGACCATAGAGGCTGTGCTCCGCTCCCCTCCCCGGGCAGCAGAATGCTCCCCTCTGTTAACAGAGCTCTCTTCCCTTCCCAGGCCAGAGCTGCTGTGTCCCTCTCCCTGCTGTGCTGTTGGATGTAGAATTCTGTGCTCCACCAGTGTGTGTGTGTGTGTGTGTGTAGGAGAGGGGAAGATCTTCCGTGTCTTTTGAACTGTATAAGATATTACAGCATGCTGGGTATGGTCTCCATATCTTTCATGGCCAAATCTTTGTCAGTACAGCCTATGAGAATGGGCATAGTTGGAGCATGAGCCTGGCCCTGTTTTCACTTCCTCAGCACCAGCCTGCTTTGCCCTGCACATCTGCTTAGCCCAAGTTAGAATGGGTTTCCTCTCCCCTCCTTACCTTTAGATCTGGCTCCCCGTTTGAGGCGCACAAGGAGCTCCTGCAAGCATAGAAAGAGGAAGCCTGAGTGGCTGCTGTCTTAGAGATTCAATTACCAAGTGCTCCCAAAATCTGGAGAGCTTTGAGACACACTCCTCCCACTCTCCTCAGTGTGGCATTTCTGGTATTGTGGGGAGTGCCTTAGACACATGTATAATAGTCCAGGATAGCAGGGACCAAGCACAAATTGGCTCATGTTCCTGGGGTTGCGCATTAAGGATCCTTCCAGTTGCACACAATTTACATGTGCTAGCCATTATGTACTATTTCTGTGCAAATGCCATAGATGAGAATTTAGGCAACTGCCCTTCCCCAGGCCCAGAGGTAGAGGGAAAAGCATGCATTGCCATTAAGGTATGTGGAATAGAAATACTCCCACAAAGAGACTCTCTTTAATCTGGTCCCAAGTAACACAAAGCAGCACTAATGACTGAAGAGCGGAGTGGCTTGCTAATGAGGAAAGATTAAGAACTAAGAAAGTTAGAATTCTTCTGGGTCTGCGGTTTTGAGGCCACCCAATATCTGAGGCTAAGGGATATGGTAACCCTCTGCATAAATTCAAATGGTCAAGTGTAATTGAGGATGATATGATGGTGTAAGTAAGACTGATGTGGGGAAATCAAGCAAAGGTTGAACATGATGGAGCAAGGGTGGCCAACCTGTGGCTCTGGAGCCACATATGGCTCTTCAGAAGTTAATATGTGGCTCCTTGTCTAGGCACTGACGCCGGGGCTGGAACTCCAGGCACCAACATTCCAATGTGCCAGAGGACGCTCACTGCTCAACGACTGGCCCTGCCACAGGCCCTGCCCCCACTCCACCCCTTCCCGCCCCCTCCCCTGAGCCTGCCGTGCCCTTTCTCCTCCCCCTCCCTCCCAGAGCCTCCTGTACACCACGAAACAGCTGATCGGGAGGTGGGAGAGGGAGGTGCTGATCAGCAGGGCTGCCGGTGGGTGGGTAGCGCTGGGAGCTGGTGGGAAACTGATGGGGGGGTGCTGCTGATGTATTACTGTAGCTCTTTGGCAATGTACATCAGTAAATTCTGGCTCCTTCTCAGGCTAGGATGGCCACCCCTGAGATGGAGCCTTTGCTAACAGTCAGGGGTATCTGGCTGTGGACAGTCACCCAAAGAGTGTGACAGAAGGCGCATTGCTTGGTACAATTAAAAACTGCCCTGAGTAATTCACTGCAGGGAACAATTGCAGCCTGGGCCTAGAGCTGAACTTTGGTACCCTCTTACAGCTTTTCCTCTCTCTGACGTGTATAACTGTGTAACTCTGCCCCGTCTCCTGACCAGCAGAGACCAGTGGAGGCTCCGGCAAGAAGAGATGAGAGTGCTGCCAGACCAGGGTTAGGGCACCAAGGGGTGCCAGGACCCTCCAGGGATCTCCCAGAGTGGCACTGGCATGTTGACCTCTTACCTGGCACTGCAGAGTGGTGATTGCTGCCATCAGCAGGTACAGACACAGGAGTTTCCCTTCCATCCTCTGTGTTTTCCAGGGTTTCCTTCAAATCTCAGAATCTAAAAAAAACAAACAAAAAAGGTGAGCAGTGAGCCTCCAGTGTGAGCAGAGGTTGATATTGTCAAAGCAAACAAGAGCTTTTATCCATACAGCTCCCACGGATTTTTCAGAGGGAAGGAGGCTTGCAGGGAGTGGCTAAATCCCTGAGTTGGCTTTGCATTTGCAAATCTCAATTTCAGAGTCTAGGAGCCTTGGTGTAACTTGGAAGGGTCCTGACAGTCTGGACCACCTCCCACTGTTTAAAGTGGCAGGGAGAGGAAGGGAGGGGTTGCCAGGGGTTGCAGACCTGGGAGGGGGGAAAAGAGTAAAAAAAAAATTGAGCTGTGTCATGGAAGGCTGCACTTTACTGAGTTACCAAAGTTGCTGCTCCCAGGGTACGACAGACCCCTAATTTTTTCAGGCCACTTTAAGCACTGCCACCTCCCAGAGGTAAATGGCAGAAGCCAAGTTCCTAGGCTCTGGCACTAAGCAGTGCCTGTCTGGCACTACTTGGGGGGGGTTGACGTTGGCAAGAGACAAGTCCAGGTCACGTCTCCACAGGCTGTGGGAATCCAGGGGTGCTGAGTGGCAGCAGAGAACTCGAGACTCTCACAGAAGAAATTGTGACTCCCAGATTTGTCTAATAAAACAGAATACAGTGTCTCAAGAGAAGCCAAAACGAGGTGTCTGAAAGAGTAGGAGTGTTTAGGTTGGGGTGTCAGCTCTCAGGGGCCCAAAAAAGGCTGACGGGCCATCTCAGTGTCAGACAGGGGTGTGGACAGCACGAATGAATTTAAAGCAATAGATCTGTTTTTCAGTATTTTAACCTCCATGCCCTGTATGGTCTGGACTTTATTTCCACTATCATCCTGCCCCTCTTGCAGGCAGTTGAAAGTAGGTTAGTTGGCTGGGATGCTGGCTTGTGGTCTGGCACTCCATCTCACTTGTTCAAGCATGCATTTCTTTCCTTGACTCACTTCCCTATAGTCACAACAGCCTCTCATTCCCTTTAATCTACCTCAGCAGCTGTCACTTCAGACAAAGCTCTGTTCCAGCCCTTATGAGAAATCTTTACATCTTCTGTCCCCACAACAGTAACCTTGGGAAACAATCTATTCCTGCACAGTTCATTAGTTCATCTGATATGATTGAGAGGAAGAATAGACTTAGACCTCTGCCTGCATCCGTCTTCCAATGAATACATTACTTTCCTTCTCTCTTTCCCCTGTCCTCTTTCTTACCTGGCTGGCAGAATTCCTTTCTGGTAGTGAATTTCCTTGGAGCTGCCCTGATCACTACTGATTACAGTGGGAAAATTCAGGCTCTGAGGAGTTCAGTAGTCTTGTGTGTTCCATGCCCCTTTACTGAGCAGCATTTTCAGCCTCCTTCGGTGACAGACTTAATGGCAGCAACATGAGCTCTGATCTCTATAGCTCAACTCTGCCGTGGCGGCATCTCTGCCATTTCATTCTCTCCAGTATCCCCTCTCCCAGTCTGTTCACAAACAAAGGCAAGAGACAGGTAATTTTCTTCACGATAGCAGTAGAGAATTACTTCATGGTTTGGGGAAGTTGCTGGAGGGAGGAGAGAGCCCCATTGAGAACCTTGCAGAAAGCTTTTATCATACAACTTCAGTCCTGGCAGATTAAAGCATTTTATATGTAAAATTCTCTAGTCCAAACTGATAACATCCATTACTGCTCCTGTATGGACCCAGGCACAGTTCTTATCCTCGCACAAGTAGAACACCCTGGAATAAGGGGTGTAGGCAGTGAGGGGCTCTTTGAGGGGGTCTGTTCCCCACAGGGGCAGTGCAGCTTTGCTCTGGTCTCATAGCACTACTTTTATCTTCCTTTTTCTTCAGGGGCTTCCTTTTTCTTCAGTTATCTTAGAGACCTCATAGCAAGAATAAAAGATTAGGGAGACGAGGGTATACTAGCGATCTCCTGCAAATCCTGACCTTGAGAGCAAGAGTTTAACAACTACAGGGGAAATTCATCTTCTTTTTCAGAAATGTTACCGAATTCAAGAACTTGTAATAAACCTGACTGTCTAACCAGGAGTCACACTGGGATAATAAAGACAGATTTCAGAGTAGCAGCCGTGTTAGTCTGCATCCACAAAAAGAAAAGGAGTACTTGTGGCACCTTAGAGACTAACAAGTTTATTTGAGCATAAGGGATGAGGTGGACGAGGCTTTCTTCCGGCAATTCACGGAAGTTACTAGATCGCAGGCCCTGGTTCTCATGGGAGACTTCAATAACTCTGATATCTGCTGGGAGAGTAATACAGCAGTGCACAGACAATCCAAGAAGTTTTTGGAAAGGGTAGGGGACAAATTTCCTGGTGCAAGTGCTGGAGGAACCAACTAGGGGCAGAGCTCTTCTTGACCTGCTGCTCACAAATCGGGAAGAATTAGTAGGGGAAGCTAAAGTGGATGGGAACCTGGGAGGCAGTGACCATGAGATGGTCGAGTTCAGGATCCTGACACAAGGAAGAAAGGAGAGCAGCAGAATACGGACCCTGGACTTCAGAAAAGCAGACTTTGACTCCCTCAGGGAACTGATGGGCAGGATCCCCTGGGACAATAACATGAAGGGGAAAGGAGTCCAGGAGAGCTGGCTGTATTTTCAAGAATCCTTATTGAGGTTACAGGAACAAACCATCCCAATGTGTAGAAAGAATAGTAAATATGGCAGGCGACCAGCTTGGCTTAACAGTGAAATCCTTGCTGATCTTAAACACAAAAAAGAAGCTTACAAGAAGTGGAAGATTGGACAAATGACCAGGGATGAGTATAAAAATATTGCTCGGGCATGCAGGAGTGAAATCAGGAAGGCCAAATCACACCTGGAGTTGCAGCTAGCAAGAGATGTTAAGAGTAACAAGAAGGGTTTCTTCAGGTATGTTAGCAACAAGAAGAAAGTCGAGGAAAGTGTGGGCCCCTTACTGAATGAGGGTGGCAACCTAGTGACAGGGAATGTGGAAAAAGCTAATGTACTCAATGCTTTTTTTGCTTCTGTCTTCACGAACGAGGTCAGCTCCCAGACTACTGCACTGGGCAGCACAGCGTGGGGAGGAGGTAATCAGCCCTCTGTGGAGAAAGAAGCGGTTCAGGACTATTTAGAAAAGTTGGATGAGCACAAGTCCATGGGGCTGGATGCGCTGCATCCGAGAGTGCTAAGGGAGTTGGCGGATGTGATTGCAGAGCCATTGGCCATTATCTTTGAAAACTCATGGTGATCCGGGGAAGTCCCGGATGACTGGAAAAAGGCTAATGTAGTGCCCATCTTTAAAAAAGGGAAGGAGGAGGATCCTGGGAACTACAGGCCAGTCAGCCTCACCTCAGTCCTTGGAAAAATCATGGAGCAGGTCCTCAAGGAGTCAATTCTGAAGCACTTACATGAGAGGAAAGTGATCAGGAACAGTCAGCATGGATTCACCAAGGGCAAGTCATGCTTGACTAATCTAATTGCCTTCTATGACGAGAGAACTGGCTCTGTGGATGAGGGGAAAGCGGTGGACGTGTTGTTCCTTGACTTTAGCAAAGCTTTTGGCATGGTCTCCCACAGTATTCTTGCCAGCAAGTTAAAGAAGTATGGGCTGGATGAATGGACTGTAAGGTGGATAGAAAGCTGGCTAGATTGTCGGGCTCAACGGGTAGTGATCAATGGCTCCATGTCTAGTTGGCAGCTGGTATCAAGTGGAGTGCCCCAAGGGTCGGTCCTGGGGCCGGTTTTGTTCAATATCTTCATAAATGATCTGGAGGATGGTGCGGATTGCACCCTCAGCAAGTTTGCAGATGACACTAAACTGGGAGGAGAGGTAGATACGCTGGAGGGTAGGGATAGGATACAGAGGGCCCTAGACAAATTAGAGGATTGGGCCAAAAGAAATCTGATAAGGTTCAACAAGGACAAGTGCAGAGTCCTGCACTTAGGACGGAAGAATCCCGTGCACCGCTACAGACTAGGGACCGAATGGCTCAGCAGCAGTTCTGCAGAAAAGGACCTAGGGGTGACAGTGGACGAGAAGCTGGATATGAGTCAACAGTGTGCCCCTGTTGCCGAGAAGGCCAATGGCATTTTGGGATGTATACATAGGGGCATTGCCAGCAGATTGAGAGACGTGATCGTTCCCCTCTATTCGACATTGGTGAGGCCTCATCTGGAGTACGGTGTCCAGTTTTGGGCCCCATGCTACAAAAAGGATGTGGAAAAATTGGAAAGAGTCCAGCGGAGGTCAACAAAAATGATTAGGGGACTGGAACACATGAGGAGAGGCCGAGGGAACTGGGATTGTTTAGTCTGTGGAAGAGAAGAATGAGAGGGGATTTGATAGCTGCTTTCAACTACCTGAAAGGGGGTTCCAAAGAGGATGGATCTAGACTGTTCTCAGTGATAGCTGATGGCAGAACAAGGAGTAATGGTCTCAAGTTGCAGTGTGGGAGGTTTAGGTTGGATATTAGGAAAAACTTTTTCACTAGGAGGGTGGTGAAACACTGGAATGCGTTACCTAGGGAGGTGGTGGAATCTCCTTCCTTAGATATTTTTAAGGTCAGGCTTGACAAAGCCCTGACTGGGATGATTTAGTTGGGGATTGGTCCTGCTTTGAGCACAGGGTTGGACTAGATGACCTCCTGAGGTCCCTTCCAATCCTGATATTCTATGATTCTAAGCTTTCGTGAGCTACAGCTCATTGTAGCTCACAAAAGCTTACGCTGAAATAAATTGGTTAGTCTCTAAGGTGCCACAAGTACTCCTTTTCTTTTTGCGAATACAGACTAACACGGCTGTTACTCTGAAAGCAGAGATTAGGTTACTGAGGAAGGTAGATTAGAATTAGTAGTATTAAGTTCATAGGGACTCCACTCTGGGAGCAAAATAGCACTAAAGGGCACTCCAACACTTTGTTTTTCCACATTTATGAGCCACAGATGTTAAGGTCCTTCTGATCCTGCATAACACAGGCCAACGAATTTCACCAAGTGTTTCCTGGATCTAGCCTATAATTAAGTAGCGGATATGTGGTTCCATGTATCATATTTGCCTGGTTAGATGGTAAATTCCTAGGTACAGGGACATTCAGTAAAGTGCCATAGACTTGCACATCTCCCTTCAAGTAAGTCATTTTCACCTATAATCATACTGGGGACATTTTTTTTTCCAATTGAACAAGGTAGGATACACTGCCAGAGTGGGGAGACTTCTCATGAAATTGCTAGTGACGGCCGTCTGTACCCAACATGAGAGATTTCAGAACCAGTGTTACTGGTGCTGCAGTCAGAAACTAGTGATATTTTTTTTTGTCCAACTGTCATGTAAATAGACTCACTACATTGTGGCAAGAGCATCATAAAAGTAAGGGATGTTGCTTCTGTCTTCCTCCAAGGGTGTACTGACTGCTCTAGATAGCAGGAAATAGGAGGAGCAGCAAGAGGATTTTGTTTCCATATCTTCTATCAGTTTCTAAATTATAGGATTATTCTGCAGTCACACATATTTCTGCCATATCATTCATCTGCTCTCACCTTTTCTCATTTCTCTGTCTCCTCTGTTTGTCTACATCAGGCTTCCTTGAGAGAGCAGAAAGTTGGCTCAAGTATTTGAAAGAACCGATATTTCATAAATCTGGAGTTCAGGCTCCGCTATTTAAATAAAGCCAGTAAGGGCAACTGGATAATGGCTGGCTGAATGCAAAGATGACAGATTAGTCAGTCATCAGGTCAGGAACAAAAGCAGAGAGAGAGAAAATGAAAATAAGTCTTGTTTTAGGAAATGGGGTTTGATTGATGGAAAAGCAAAAGACCCAAGTGAACTATTCCAGGCCCTGAATCAGAGGGAGCAGTGGTAACAGCAGAGTGTAGGCTACCATGTCTCATGATAGGTCTGAAAAAAGTGGAGGATTCAAGAGGGCATGTGAGAGCGTTACAGGTACTTTAAAAAAATCTCCAGATGTCAGACCTGGAGAAAAAGTTTTGAGGATGCACGGATATTTCCACATTTCAGTGGTAAAGTCCCGGATGTTCACAGAATCTCCCAGGAAAGACTTTCAGGGCCCTGGCTTTACAAAATTCCTTGTACAATGGGTTCCCTGCTATGTAGCAGGCTTTAAAAAAAAAAAAAAAAAAAAAAAGTGCAGAAACGTTTTCCAAACAGGCAATGACTCTCAGGAATATGGACATTAATCTGACATAAGCCTCTAAAGTCCCCAGGAGTGCTGTAGCAAAGTAGCATCTCAATCTTTGTTACCCTAAAGTCACAAGACTGTTGATCAAATCTAGTGCCAATTTATTATGCAGAAGCCCTCAGGCTATTGTCTGAAATCAGGGCTATGCTATGACTTCTTTGAATTTTTGCAGATGCTGCCGTATAACCATAACTGGATGGTAATCAGCACCATAGGACCAATGTCACTCTTGCCAGCCAGAGGGAGGCTGCAATTCCTCTTCTTAAAGCTGCACGTGAGAATGGAGGTTCTTAAACCTCTTACTCATCTGAAAGGAAGAATTTCTGAACTAATACTCCAGCAAGTATCTGTCTGTGGAAGAGAGTGTCGGAGCCATTTCTTCTGAGGAAATTTAGGATTCCCTGGAAATAAGCCAGTTGTGTCAAAGTCCGAATTTCCTGCAGTAGAACAAAGTATTGGAGCTAACCTGGGTAGTCACCTAGGAGGAGTTGGGCTGAGTGGAATCAGGTGGAACCGGAGCTTGTTCTGATAGGAGAAAGAAGGAATCAGATGTTTTTATATCCTGAAAGATTTTGTATTAAAATCTTGGAGACTGGTATGAGAGGAGAATCTTCCATTTAAAAAGCACCAGAGCTACTTAAAGTGTGAATTAAATATAAAACAAATTCTGTCCCAATTACACTTAGCTTGTTAGTCAGTTTTTAATGTACTCTAGTCTACTGTACACTCTAGCAGTGCTGACCTGCAGCCCATGTCCTTTAATTTTCTTTGTACCAAATAGTGCTTCCTGTATCTCATGGATGTCATCTGATTCCTTTGTTCCAATAACCCTTGCTATGCCTTCCAGGCCAGCGCCTCTCCAATGCACAGAAATGAGTGCATAGTCCCTTATCTGTAGCTGTAGGGCAGTTCTGATGTCCAGTGTGCTTGGAAGGCTGGTAACTGGTGTTTTGCCCAGTCTTATCCCTGGCCTCGGCTGTGCCTTACCCAATCAGAGTGTTCTGAATGATAAGCCCTATCTAGGAAAGCACATGGATTTCCGAAAATATGAGAATGTTTACGTGGATAGAAGCAGAGACCTTCTAGCAATAATCTTTTTTGCCCAGCTGCCTCTGGCCTAGTTATTCCTGTTGCTCTGACCCTTAACGCTTCTGCCCCTGTGACCAGCAAATAGATTCCAAGGCCAGAAGGGACCATTGTGATCATCTAGTCTCATCTCCTTGTATATAGCAGGCCATAGAACTCCTCCAAAATAATTCCTAGAGCAAATCTTTTAGAACAACATCCGCTTGTGATTTAAAAATTGCCAGTGATGGAGAATCCACCATATCCGTTGGTAAATTAATCCAGTGATAAGATAGAAAGGGCTGGATTTACTGTGCTGACACTTTCGTTCTGTATAAGATACATTAAAGGTAATCCAGGTCATACTATAATTGATGCTGTCACTTTAAAAGTACTTTCTGGCTGGATTCTTATGGAACTCTAAATGGATTAGAATCTGCTTGATTTGTGCAGCCCTGGGGCATTTATGTAAATGTGCAAATGTTTTGTTTTGAATGAACTCGTTTCTTGTCTGAAGTTAAGTAGAGAAACAAAGAGGAGGGAGGGGGAAATAGGGTGGGGGGAGATGAAAGAGGATATTTGGCTACGATAGGGTGTTTTTACAATGTTTGGATTGAGGTTTTAAAGGAATATATTAAGTGGTGTGAAGCCCAGAGTGTGTGTGCAGTCCAGGATCAGGGATCTGCTGTGCTACAAACACCTAAGGAGACGGACCTTTTCCCAAAGCATTTACGGTCTGACTAGAGAAAACACCCCCAGGCTGTCTTGTGTAGAAATCGATTAGGAGTCAGTGCAGAGGTTAATGGCTGCACTTTTAGGGCATGTCTACACAGAATCTGGGAGCAAGTCTCCCAGCCTTGGTCCACGGACTTGTGGTAACGGGTTCCTGGTGGCATTCTAAAAATAGCTGTGTAAACAGTGTTTTGATGTGGCAGCTCAGGCTCTCAAGCTGCCCTCTTCTCCCCACTACCAGGCTTCGGATTCCAATCTCCAACCTGAACCGTAGTGTCTACATAGCTATTTTTAATGGGCTAGCATGAGTCTGTGGATCCAGACTGGGTCGCTCACTCCCTCCCAGATACAGTGTAGTGTAGACATGCCCTTAGTGCAACGCCATCCCAAGTGCAAACCTCTGCACAACACAAGTGAGCTGGGTAGCATGTAACTAGTCTATCTTCCTCATGATGCTTTGCCACCCCCAGAACCACATATCTGGATCCTGGTGCACCTGCCTGTTGGTGTCACGATAACCTTGTGCTAAACAAAGCTGGAGAGCAGTATGGAGTTAGTGCACCGAATGCACGTGTTGTGTTAGGAGCACATAACTCACTACCGATCTGGAATCAACACAGCAAAGGGATGCTGCATTCCGCAGACGCAGCGAACATCTCTGCAGATGCCTCAGAAACAAGAATACTTTGAACTTCACATGTTCCGCGTTAAGCATCACAACCCTCCTCAGTAATAGGTAAATAACTGTTACTCCTAATTTAAAGGTGGGGAAAGTGAGACCCATGGAAGTGAAGAGACTCACCCAAGGTCACATTGACAGTCAGAGGCAGAATAGGGATTAAAAGTCAGGAGTCCTGACTCCCAGTTCCATGCTCTTCTCTTTAGAGCCCATTGCCTTGACTCTGAATTTGGAATCAGTAGCTGTTTGCCGTTTGTGCTGATACTTCTCTAAGCTGATCTCTGATCAGAGGGGCATAAAGTCTGGGCCTCGCTGCCCCTCCTGCCTGCAGGGAGAAAGAGTCTTCGTGCCTTTCTCCCCTTTACTGCCCGCTGAGAGGAGTTGTAGTGCCCCAGTCCTCTACTGAGCATCGTGGTGCCCAGTTTCTTACTATTTCTTCCTGTCTGCCACCTCCATAGACAGGGCACTTATATTTATATCATACCCCTTCAATGTCTTTGAAATACACCGTTCCCTTGACACTTGTGAAGTCTGATTTCCCCTGTGGGAATTGTTCTGAAGATTTGCTATAGCGCTGGGTGTGTTTGGGAAGAGGAAGAAGCCTAGAGAGCCCACGGAGGCTCCTCTGTCATCCCTGCTTAGACTGGAATCCTGAAGAGAAATGTGCAGTCTGACCCCTACCTCAGCCCATCTCATGAGCAGGACGAATGATAATTTCACAGCTGGCACTCTGGGTCTTTTGTTGCTATTGGAAGATCTGTTCTTTTTATTTACACTATTATTTTCTTTTTCTCTGTGCAGGGGGCTCCTACCCAAGTGCAGTTCAGTGCCAGAGGCTGTCAGTCCTTTAGCTGCTCCACTTTTACTGACTTGGGGTAGTAAGGCTTTCCTAAGAGAACTGGAAAGCACCATCTGTCCCCAACTTTATATTTCTCCCCAAAGGCTGAAAAGAAACAGCTGAGTTAAATTCCACATTCTAAAGTGCCGTACATCATGCTAATTAATTAAGAAGTAATAATTAATATCAGAAGTGTGACCTTATTTATCCCTGCTCTACTCTTATTGCAACACTAAGCCATGGGGAAAGGGAAAGACTCTGCACAGACAGGTGCAGAATAACACATACCTTCACTTCTCCTCTTTTGTATGCTGCTGATGGTTTCCTTTCAGTGTAGCCTGGATGCTTTGAATATGTCTGAGCTCTGATCTCTCTAAACAGCTCCAGTGTCCTCCTTAAAATGCCAGTCAAGGGGGGTGGAGACTTTATGGGCGGGGGGGGACTTTTTCACCCAGCGGAAAAGATACACAGTGGTAGGCTGCAGTGATGAGGTCAGGATGGGCTGGGTTAGTTTTTTGCAAAGATGAGGGGGAGGAGAAGTGCCTGATGAAGTCAGCAGAACACATCCTGGCTCTCATCCAATCAGCATTATTCATGGTCCTAATCAGAAAGCAGTTAAGTGACTCCACAGCGTCTTTTTGGTATCATTGCCTTTTGACTCCTTTTGAGAGCCAGGAACAGATCAGATAAGTGCCACTTACAAAGAGAACCTTCATCCTGGTTCCAGGAATGGGGGGCAGAGAACCACCCACACAATGCCCCAAGAGATACAAAATACTCAAATATTCATTATTTCCTTGGGCCATCAGCTTAAATGGTGCTGTGCAAACTATAGAGAAAGACCATGTCCCTCTTCCAGGGAGCTTCCCACGCTAAACAGGCAGATGATGCAGTTCGGGCACATAATGCACTAGGAGTCAGTCTCTGAATGGTGCCTATTCACATCACTAGAAAAAGAGACCCCAATCTGTGAGTGGAACAAACCTGTCCCGCAGCCATAGAGAGTACAGAGCAAGGTATGGGGGAGAGGACATGGCAGGAAAGGGTGTGAGAGAGATAACTGGAGGAAGCGGGAGAGTAGACGAGGGCCTCAAAAAAATCCCTGAGTCCAAACACAGCCAGATACTGGACATGTTGAATCTAGGTTTGAATTTTGCAGTCTGAGGCCCTGTGCTGAGATAAAGCTCTCCTAGCACCTGACAGAAGAACCTCCATGCACCCAGTCTACCTCTCCACTAGTGGATGCTACACTCTCTCAAATGGCCACTTTTCTCTAAAGGTTAGGTCTTTGCTCTCTGGGGCAGGGACTGTCTCTTACATGTTTGTGCAGGGTCACCCACATTGATGAAAAAAGAAAAGGAGTACTTGTGGCACATTGATGATGCTCTTTAAATAGAGGCTACCTGATTTTAACAGCAGCGGAGGTTTGAGTTCTTATTGCCCAGTTCCCTGGTTAACTACTAGGATCTTTATACACCCTGTATCTTTTAACAGAGATTCGTTAGCTTTTCTCTTTGCTCTCAGGAGATTCTTGCTGCCTCATCTGAGATCCTAGATATTTCTCAGCCTTTTAGTGTAGCCCCATATGACTGTCTGTGACCAGGTCAGTGGGAGACAATCTTAGGGGAATCATTGACACTCAGAGATTAAATTAGGGCTCTTGGGAAAATAGACATTGGGTGGGAGGCTCAAGGCTAGAGAGTGTTTAGGGGGGAATTGGGAATAGCAATTTATGGACCAACAAGTTAAATTGTTTTTCATTCTTTGAGTCCATCTAAGACTATGACTCTGATCCTTAGAGCCAACAACCTAAAACCAGTAATAACCAATTAAAACCCTTCAGAAATTCCCATAGGAACAAAGCTGTTTTATACCATTGGAGGAGGGATTAGGTGGAAGGACCAAATGTGACCTCAAACCTTTCTGTCCTTAACTTCCGATTCCCTGAGGCAAATCGGATTGGGTTCAGATCATAAAGATGGAGCATTTGGCTGAAATATCTGGAAGCAGCATGGACTACAGGCTCCTTTCCAGGAAAAGGCCACAATAGGCAACGCTGCTAAAAAGGAAGGAATTAACACTTGGTTGGTTTGCTGTCAGTGATGGGTGTGGAGGGGAAAGACTGGAGAGTTCGTAATGCTTTATGAAAACCCCATGGACTTTTTAGAGCAGGAATGGTTGCCCTGCCAAGGCACAGATGAGTTCAGTTCTAGAGAAGCAGTCAGAGAAATTAGCTCTCTTATGAGGAATTTTATACAATTTAAGGCCAAAAGGGACAATTGGGTCATCTAGTCTCCTCTCCTGCATCAGTAAATACTAATGACTTGAGTATATAAGACAAGGGTACTACATATGGGGGGTTATGGAGCCAGAGAAGCTGAGGGAGAGGGGCTTGTCTCAGAGCGATTTGACATATAGCTCTATAGGTACTACTGTGTGTAAGGATGAAGGGCAAAGGACAAGGTGGCAGCCTTAGAGCTGGACACTATGGCATTATCATTGCACACAGGTTTACTCTGATGAGATAATTGTTGCAATAATAGATATGCAGGAATTATGAAGAAGCTGATTCAATAGGAATCAGATTCCTGCTCTCAACTTCACACTGAAAGTACAGTCTGATAGCCTGTCCAGGGAAACCAGTGTGTGAAAGGCTTTCACTTTCAGGAAATAGCTTAGGGGTTCTCAAACTTGTGTACTGGTGACCCCTTTCACACAGCAAACCTCTGAGTGCGACCCCCCCCTTATAAATTAAAAACACTTTTGTATTTAACACTATTATAAATGCTGGAGATGAAGTGGGATTTGGGGGTGGAGGCTTACTGCGACCCCCCCACACACACACATAATAACCTCACGATCCCCTGAGGGGTCATGACCCCCAGTTTGAGAACCCATGAAATAGCTGGAAAGAGCCCATGTCAGGCTCTGTGATGAGGGTTACCCGGCACCTTTAGCAAGAGGAAGGGCTGGCCTGTGCATAGTTTGGGGGGAACAGCGGGACATTGCCCCCCCCAAACTGCAAGTCTAAGGCAGGTGCAAAATTTGCCGCCCTCCAGCCTCATTGGCCTGA